TTGCCTTACGTTTTTTGCATATGCCTTTGCCGCGGCTTCTATTTCACATAACGTTTCACCAGATGTTTTTTGATTTTTCAATTGTGAGAGGAAAATTTCGATATCCGCCAAAAAATGTGTTTCGTTAAATTTATCTCTAATGGGATGCTTCGGGTCCATTGATAGCACTTCATATACCCATTCAGGCAGTTCAATGTTATCAAGTACCTTAACTGATTGCTCATTTCTCCCGCCAATAGGTTTATCCAGTTTTTTTAACTTTTTTCTATGGTTTTCTGATGTTGTCTTTAAGCTTGCCTCAACTTGACGCCTCACGAAGCGGAAAATGGATGCCCACCACTGTTCGTCAGTTTCTTTTTGCACCAGTGATCTTGCTTTTATTAGCATCTCCTCGTACCTTTTCCTATCCTCATTTGCCCTAGAAATTTCAGTCCTTAGTAGTTTCAATTGAAAAATATGCACAGCTTGGTCCGAAAAAACCCCGTTCTCGGGACCCTAAACTTCAAAAAATCCGGTATTCGATCGTTTTTCAGACATTTTCTCAGAAACTTCAGTCTATGTACAGATACTTGAACTTTTTTGAAGAATTTTAAATAGTCTAACACAATTTTCCAAGTTAGTTTTCTTTTTAAAATTTGTCTGAACCAAACAGCAGGCAAAAATACTGTGGTCATCGTTTTGCAGGCCACGAGTAATGAAACTCCCAAGGCACAAAGCAAAACAAATCACACACATTTCTCACCCCTGTCTTTGAAGCGCAGACACTTCCTCTGCCTTCAGCTTCCGCTCACGTCTTGCTTTCGCCTTCCTCCTTGTCTGTGATGGTCTCTGTTGTTTGCCCCTGATTTTGCCAATCAGCTCTGATAGCCTCTCTTTGTGTGCCACTGCCAATCACAGAGATTTCAGCTCCAATTCAGCACTCTGGTGCAGCTTCAAATATTCCTTGAGCTGCTCCGGGTCGTTTTGCTTGCTCTTGGAGAGTAGCCGTTTTGTAGCTGGGAAAATTTTTGTTCTGTCGTTTTTTCTGTTACTGTAGATGTCAATCTTGGATTGTGATCTGCGGATTAAGGGATAATTATGAGTCGTTCAACGTAGTGAAGACTCTTACATAGGTCGTGAATGTTTTTTTTTCGGCTAAGTCATTAGATTTGTTCTTATGCAAATTTGATTGTGATTGAATCTCTCCATGCGCGAGAAACCGAATAAGGGAAAAGAAAGGCAGCCTATAAGAATTCATTATTGCATGAGAATATTACATTTTCCTGTAAATTTCTGTGATTTTTTAGTTTTTTGTTCTTTCTGGTTATAAAATTTCGTTTTGGGAACATTTTTGATTCCGACATGTCAGTTTTTTAAATTTTGGCCATGTTATACATACACTATAATTTTAGTGTTAGTTCCCGGCTCCTGAATTCATCGCGTGTGTTGATCTTCGGCCTCTCCCTCCAAATATGCAAAGCCTCTAGTGTCAGTAGCTTATGAGTGTTGGCTGTTTGGTCTATAATCTCTGACTTCAGATCAGCAGTACCGCCTACCTCCTTATTACATTCTAACAAGTGTTGTCCTACTGGGGAGACCGCTTTGCGGTGTTCATAGACCCTCGTGGCTAAATGTCGGACTGTCTGACCGACATAGGTGGAGTTACATCCACTACATGTAAGCTTGTACACCACTTTGGATCTCAGTTCACGAGCAAAGGAAGTTTTGAGAGATGGCATTTTTTTTTTCAATTTTCTTGATGAAAAAATTATTTGTGCCCCGGATATTAGCCGAACCTTTGCAGCTAACAGTTGAGATGGATTACCTCGATGTTGCATTGTAAGAAGGGGTGGTGAGTCTTTCAATCATTTGTCATTTCTCGGTTCTGATGCCTTCACCTCTAAATTTTTTTCCCTCAACGATCTTGTTAAGAGTTTCAAACACTACCCTGTCAGACCATTTTTTTGGATATTGATTTTCAATCCATAGTTTCCGATTTTTTTCCAATGCCTGGTCGAAATACTCCCATTACGAGGTACTTTTGAAAACCATATCAACCGTCCCTTCAATAACGTTTCTTTTGTACAGCAAAGTGCGCAGCCTCTGAAATTTAGAATGGTGCCGGTATCAGTGGGTTTTTGGTAACAATTACATGTGACCTTTTTTGCTGAATCCACGTTGACATTTAAGTCCAAAAAGGCCAAATTACCGTTACTATCGACTTCTTCTATGGTGTACTGCAAATTTGGATGCAACTTAATGGCAGCCTCGAGAACTACCCCAGGATCGCCCTTGACCGTTCTAACTATGTCGTCCACATATCTTAGAAAAACTTTAACCCCATTCACAGTCCAATCTGCTTCCCGTTGTTTTTTGCAAGTCATGCAATACCATACTGTATCAGCGATGTCTGCGTATTCGGATTCCGATGTGTTACCACATCCTAAGTGGTACCAATTCAAACAAGCTTCGCATTCTACTCCTTTTGACCAATATGTCACCTTTTTCTGACATCTAGGGCACACTTTTTTGTTACCCTCACTTAGCACAGTCAATTTTGGTACTTCTTTCTTTAATGCAGGTTCGTATTTTTTGAGCCAGAAATTAGCCAATATTACGGCAAGGGAGGCGCCCATTGCTAAACCGTCTTTTTGTACATACCACAAACCATTGCATTTAAAGTGTACCTTACTCACTGCCAAATTCAGTAGTTTTTTCATAGTCTTGCGAGATGTTTCCGGAGGGTTGACTTGCTCATATAATCTCCTCGGGGCTATTTCAACCGCTTCCTTGAGCGGGACGTTAGTGTACAAACTCTTTACATCAAAGGAGATTATACTCTCGTCAGAGTCCAACTCAGTTTTCTCCAAGATCTCCCTGGCCATTTGAGTGTTCGTTTCTATGTTTGCCCCCTCAATTTCATCAAAGTACTTTGCCAATGTTTTATTTAGAATGTCATATGAGCTACCAGGTAAAGAAAGGACGGGACGAAGTGGTGTGCCTTGTTTGTGTAATTTTGCTAATCCATACAGTCTAGCCGGCTGCGCTCCCGTTGATCTCAACCTATTATACATCGCTTTGCTAATCTTGTCCTTCTTTTTCATGGCGAGTAATTCTTTGTTTATGTCTTTTTCAATTTTCATAATCACGCTGTCTGTCAGATTCTTCCTCTCACTAAATTGTTCTGCCTGTAATAAGTCTTTCAGTTTTTTCTCATATGTCTCCTTTTTCATTACACAAAAACCCACCCCCTTATCAAATGGCACTGCCAGAAGACCGTTGTCCTGTAAATACTTTGTCCCTTAAATACTTGTCAGAGGGGGTCTGTTTCACATTCTTAGCATATCTTTTTGCCGCTGCTTCAATCTCACATAATTTTTCTCCGGGAATTCTATTTAACTTCAGTTCAGACAAAAAATTATCAATGTCATTAAGGAAGTGAATTTCATTGAATTTGTCTCGTACCGGATGTTTTGGTCCAAAACTTAAGACTTCCCGCACCCAAAGCGGCAAAATCACTTCATCTAAAATTCTAACTGCCCTTTCATCCAAGTTTTTCAATGGTCTATCCTGTCTTTCCGAAAGTTTTTCAAGCTCTCTCTTGTGTCGGCTTATCAGGTTATTGACACTACACCTTGCTTGCCGGTTCAGATAGAATATTACCAAAGGCCACCACTTCTCATCTATATCCCTTCTCACTACCTCTCTTGCTTTTACTAGGTTACCCGATGCCTTGGCCCTATCCGCATTTGCCTGGCTTAGCTCAGATCTTAAGAGTCTCAGTTGGAAGCTGTGCATCGCTTGATCCAAAAAAACACCGTTATCAGGTACGCGAAACCGTAAAAATCTGGTATAATGTCGTTATCGAGACATTTTCTCAGAAATTTAATTCTCAGGAAACTGCCATTAAATTTATTAAAATGTTTTGAATAATCTAATACAAGTTTCCAAGTGAGTTTTCTTTTCAGGACCATTCTAAGGAGTGGTGGTAGCAGCACAATTGCGGTCATCTGTTCTTTGCAGGCCACGAGCACTGAAACTCATGTGGCACTCAGCAAAGAAAAAACAGCCACAACAAAATCTTACCTCCTATTGGTCGTTTGGTTCCGACTGGAGGTCGCCAGCCAACACCTCCGCTCTCCGCGCCTTTGCCCTGCGGCGTCCCTGCGATTGTTTGTTGGTCTGGGCCCGTATCCTTGAGAAGATGCCTGGCAGGTGGTCCCGATGGGACAGCACCACCAGTAGTGACTTCAACTCCATTACACTTGACTGGTGCAGTTGAAGATACTCTCTGAGGACTGCAGGATTATGTCTCTTCCTTCTAGAGATAAGGCTACCAGTTGTTTTTTTGACGATTATCTCTGTCCTCCGCAGATCCTCAAAAATATCGGGAGTGCCCGTTCTCCTGCAGTAGACAATGCCACTAATTTGTCTTTGCTTTGATTGTAAATACGCCAGTAGTTCGTCAAGTGGGCAGGGCGTAAAGTTGCTCGTGCGATGTGAGGATATGCTGTTGGTCAGCAAGTCGTGCCAGATGATAATCTGCTTACTGGCCAGAGGTTGCAGTTCCAATAACACTCGTAAATCCTTCCCCCTGTTCAAGGTATTGGGGTTCTAAGAAAGGCCGGGGACTGCGTAGACCTTCTGCTGTGTCTCTCTCCGTTCCTCTTGCTCAAGATCTTCAGGCTGTGATAAAGGGAGCTGGCAGCTACAATCATCGCCATTTTAACTCAAACACTACTGACATTATGAACAAAAAGTGGTAATAAAATTCTGTACAAATAGAAAAAAATTTTTTTCGAACTATGGTTGTTTTCCTTAAAGGAATATAACAGTTTGCTTATAGCTTATCGCTAAAAAGGGTTAGAATTTAACAAAAATGGTTATAAGAAATTTAAAATGTTAATTCAAGCATGAGAATAGCTTCCCTGTCTTATTCCGGAAAGTTACATAAATGAAGCCGTAAATGGCAGATTGGCTCAAAGCTTTTTGCTACTTGCTCTCATACTACGACTTGTCTACCTTTTTTCCAGGAAAAATGGCTACAGATCAATTAAGTTCGCTGAATCTCAAGGGCTCTACGGAAGTGGTGTGTGATCTGCTATGTAAGTATTTACCGTTTTAAAAATTATGCGGAAAAATGCGTCTGCACTTAATATTGTTCGTCGAAATACATTTGTAGATTACTGTGTGCATAATATCAGTTACCTACGCGGAGTATACCACAGTAATTTGTACGAGTATGAGACGAAATGGGATCAGAAGGTGTTTGTTTGCCAGAACGAACAAATGCAGAAATATGTTTCCAAGATGATCGATAGTTTCCGCATTTGGATGTTGAACAAAGAAGCTAGGAGTATTGTGTTGGTGTTATGCGATGCAATTACAGACGAGAGGTTGGAGCGTTGGCAGTTCGACATAACTCTTGATGACGAATCCATCTCAGCAGACGTGTAAGTATGTGGATCTGTTTGCGATGTCAACCCTTATCTGTCTCTGTTACTATTCTGATAGACATGGTCTTAAAGTAACCAAGGTCTCTTGAAAATCCCTCTAGAGCTCGCAAATTGCTAATTAACGGGAATGCGACTATTCAGGAACATGACCATATGTGAACCTGCAACAGATGAAAATTTTTAGCAAATTTGAACTTGCAGTATTAATGAGAAACCCAATTGATGATTTAAAACCCCATTGATGATGAGTTAAAACAAGCAGTAGGCCTTAATACTCTTGCCATCAGCAAGGGTATTGCAACCGGTACTGGACATTTTCCCCGTAAACAACCTTGTTCACAGAATGGTCAATTTTAGTAGGAATGGTAAATTTCACGACTGCTGACATGCTCAATTTCTTGAACATTTAAACAAAACTACCAGATTCTGTACTAATAAGTTGAGTTCATTTATGGGGGTAATTTTTTTCACATATATATTGCGAGTTTTTTTCGGACTGGTTTTCGTCATAGCTTCCGTCGGTTTATTTTACGTTTTTGTAAATGCCATATATATTATCTGATACGTTTTCATGTGTCTTGCAATATAAAGCTCTGGCTTTATAGTGATTTAAACTGTTTTTACTAACTCAAAAGTTCTGTAATTTGTGTTTTAATGTAAATAATGTTTTTTTTTTCGTTGGTTTTTCGATTAGTTGGTTTCGTGTCTCAGTAGGTATGGGTCGTGAAAAGTTTTGAAACGTAATAGCTCATGTGTTTTCGGCTCAACAGGGGTCGACTCAAATTTTGTAGTCTGAGTTACCGCTCGGTATTTGTTTCCCAATGCTTTTTAAGGCTGTTTATGAACATCATTCAATACAAACATGAAATTTTAATGTGTATTTTTGACTTAGTTTTTCATATTTTTTTTTGCTTTCACTTTCTTGTTATACGCCTTAGCCAAGTGTTATAAACCCTAAATATATCGTAGTAGTAGCGTAGGTTACGTGTAGCTTAAAGCTACTAAGTACTCAAAATTCAGTTTTCTATTTATCTTAACAAGGATAGCCGGTTGGTGTGCAAGTAGCAGTGAATGTTCTGCCCACTTTCAAACAAAACTACAAAACGTTTTTTTCTTTGATTTTCTTCAGTTTAGTGTTGTTGTTAATGTGTGGTGCAATAAGAGAACTATACAAACCCGTAGAAAATTAGTTAGTAAGGCATAAAAGACGACATTCGTCTTCAAAAAATGAAAAATTAAAATTTTTTTCATTTTTTTAGAAAACTTTTTTTTTACCTAGGAAGCGCTCAATGTAACTTCCGAAACTAGTTTTCTTTTCAGTAAAATCAATTTTTTTTCGCTTGAAATTGAAATGAAATTCGTAAATTTTAAACCAGTTTTTCTCGACACTGGGACAACTTTTTGAAAATTTGTGAATATCGCTTGAATAAGACTGAACAAGCTTAGGTTTATTATACCGCTCGCATACAGATGATTATTTGTGGTACCTGATTTCGCGTGGAAAAAAATAATAACACACACTCGAATACAAAGTTCATCTCCATTTTCAATTGTCGGAACAACAAGTATAGCCGGTTGCTATGCAAATAGCGCAGAAAGTCAACGTGGTTTGCACAAGGTGTATCGGCTTTTCAACCGATTTGTAAGTGTTTATCTGCTGTTTAACAATCAGTTAATTTTTAATGTTCTCAAATTGTACTTCATGCTAGACAATTCGAGAGACATCTGTAAGTTTTGTTGTGCCTAGTTTTCTCAGTTTATTGTAGATGTCAAGGTTGGATTGTGAGCTACGGAGTACGGGGTAATTATGAGTCGTTGAACGTAGTGAAGACTCTTACGTAGGTCGCTAGGATTTTTTTCGGGCAAAGTTTTAAATTTTGCTCGCGTCCAAGTTTGATTTTTCTCGGTTTGACGTCTGATTTGTTTCAAGTTTGGTTCATTTCCTTTGTTGAAAAGAAGGCAAATTTCACCGTGGAAAAGCTATAGTGTAAATTCATATAAAACGTGATCGACTTCTAGTTTCGAAAATGAATTTCTTTATTCAGATTTGTCAGCGTTATAAGAAATCTACCTATTGACGCAGTTTGTGCAAATTGACTTCATTTGATCAAAAAAAGTGTTCTTGAAATTTGAAGAGATTTAAGGCCATGTTTTTTTTAGTTTCGGAGGTTGAAGTTTTTCAAATATTATCATCTTTATTGTTCGCTTAGTTTATTCAAGAAGTATGATATATATTGAAAATAAAGCTAGAAATACATAAATTTGTTTATTAAGCAGTTAAATGAGGGATATAATCAAAGTTTTCATTTATGATGGTTTTTGATCATGACCAAATGAGCTTCAGAGGAGTTTTTGTGTAGAGGTATCCCGCAACAAAAACGATATTCGTAACTATAAATATCCATCCCAGAATCATTACAAAGACTTCCGCTCTTCCGTATTCTTTACGAATTCTGATCATCACCATGCCAGGAAGCGCCAAGGTAGAAAAAGATGCCAGTATTCCAGACAATATAAATACCTGGCTCATTCCAGGAGCGAATAACATGCACAATAGGGTTAGGAAGAAAAATGATGTCTTTAAAGTGAAGTATTTTCCGAAGGACAGGGGACCAGTTTGAAGTTTATCTGGTGCGAACAAGTAGTCTTGTATTACTTTGCATGCGACAAAGCAGATAATAGGATATGATGCTATAACTGAAGTCATAATACAGAGTCGCGCTGTGATGGCGAGGGGATCATTGGTTTCGTATGTATTTAAGAAGTCCTCGTCGACGGCAGTGCCGAACGTCATTAACACGAAAGCAGCTAGTGCTGTGTACACAATCAAGCTTCCAAAATTGGACAGCGAACAAACTATGAGCCAATTAGTAGGAGTTCGTCTTTTGAGGTCGCTGAAAAGCAAATGTTATTCCTTAACAATTTTTATTACGTCGACGGATGAAAAAATGAAATGACAAAAATAGCCGTTCAATCGAGTTATCATTAACGCCAAGATCTACTAACGCCAAGAGCGGATATTCTTTTGAGTACTTAGAAAGGGTTGAGCAGTAAATATATGCTCTGTTGAGGTGGCGTGTTACACTAGAAATAGTGCATGATTTCATGGTCGGAGTTTCTGAAGCGGTGCGGGCAAGAAAAACAAGGTGTTTTACATTGAGCAACTTCGTTTCTTCAATTTTTTAATGAAAGTATTCAGAAAAAATACGGCCAAATTACGTTAGCGAGCGGCTGATAAGTAGTGAGTGGAATCAAGCTATCAGATTTTTGATCTTGAATGCAAAATTAGATTGTAACGTGTATAAAAGCTGTTTTAATCGTTAAACGGATTCTTAATGAGAAAACGTTATTTTTCAAAAAAAAACTTTTCCTCAGTGTTAGTTTTAAAACTTGCCTGTAAATAGCGGGGGCTGTGAAGAAACCCTGGAATTCGAAGATAACGACTGCAACGAAGCCGACAAAGGCCTCCATGCTCCACGCTGGCTCCGTAATATTCCGAGGTCGCGTTTGTTCCTCCATTGTGAAATAGCGCACTATTACAAACACGACCACGTACAAGTTCACAAAGAAGCTAGCAACACTGGGGTAATACAAGAAGTTGACACTCCTCGGAATGCAAAGGGGATAGACCATGATTAGGCAAGATAGAGCGGCGATCGCTTTGTCCCATAGTTCGAGATTAGCAGCCGGTAATTCCTCTGTGTTGACAAACCACTGGATCAGAAGCACAGACTGATCCTCTACGACCATCATGTAACCCACACATGTAGCGAAAGTGTAGCATAAGAGGGCAATGTCTATTATCACTTTGAGTTTTGAGCCGAATAGTACTTGGATTATGTCCTGCAGAGCAATCTTTTGAGTCATTTCAATGGCAGTTGCGAGAAAGATAAGGACAAGAATGCCTGAAACAGTTAACAATACAATTCCAGAGTTTTTAGTTGTCCTATATCAAATTCTATTACTGTCTAAAGTATTTGCGCATTCTGTGGTTTTTCTTTTTTCACTCTGTAATCTCAATCGGCTGCTCCCAGTCTGATGTATTTACTCAAGCGAAACCTGCATCAAAATGTGGAGCAACTGTACGGAAGTTGTCTATTGACTTTGAATTTTTAATGCGTTTTTTTTACATATTTGCATTCAAAGGTCGTAGGTCATCATCGGTAAAAGTGAAGGTTACTCAAGTAAACGATTGTGCTATAATACGAGTTCACTTTTAACAACTCGCTGGCGAGCGATTCAGTAACCTGAGCTTTATCCGCTTTATTAATGCGTTTGGTAATGATAGATGGTTTTTAAACTGTGTAAGGCAGCTGCAGGTTGAATTTTTCTCATTCCAGAGGTCATTGAGTTGAATCCTGTAGTAAAGTATTTCCTTTTGAAAATTTATTTTGAGTTTTTCTTGCCATTTTAAAGCTCCCGTTTGCCATTTTTAGTGTGCGAAATGCAGATTGTTTTCTCTCGATGAAAAAGACCAAAATTTTGCGTAGAGTGATCAAAAGTGTGAACGGATTATGTGAACGATCCCCACTTTCAACCGGGGAGAAAGTTCATTTAGTTGTTGCATTTTATCACTGAATTTTTATGTTAGGGGGGGGGGGGGGGTAGTAGATCGTTTACATGGGCTTTTTGAACTCAATCAGTTTTATTGGTTTTGTGAACTCAGTCAGGTTTAGCAAAGCATGCCGCGGTGCATGAATCAAACATTTTTATGATGTGTTTGAATACAAATTCTGGTCTAATTTGCTGTAAGTCACTGTTTAACTAAAGGGATTTTAAGAGATGAACTAAGAGTTAAAGCAAGTTTTTTTTACGCAGATAGCTTTAAATTGTTGCCTAGCTGGAGCAATTTTTGCGTTATGCTTGTTTAACGTTGTAGCATGTAAGTGCACTTTAAAAATTGCGTCGGATTTGTCTCGCGTAAAATAAACATTTCAATTTCAGAAAAAAATTCGGATTGAGTAATAGCATTAACGAAACTGTTTTATTGCGAAAGTAAGCGCTTTAATTTATTGCGAAGTTTTTCCGAAAATGTTTTCCGATGTCTACCAAAATTGAGATTGATCTTAAGATTACACGCCAGGGCTAGTGTTTTTTTCACTTGCGAGACCAAGTTACTTGTAATCGGGAACTAGTCATTTTTCCCTGTAAATAACGTTTCATACAAATCTGATGGAAGTACTAGCATTTTCGTTATCCGTCTATCTTGTAGATGCGGGAGCCTTTGAACCCTAAGGTCTGGAGTTAGAATCACGACCGGACCTTTTTTCATTGATTTTGGAATTAGGTTTTTTGGAATTTGAAGTTTGAAATGTCGGACTTTCGTTTGCCTGCTCTTTTTCTCGACTTAATTTTCCAGTCATGGAATTTTCTTCTGATTTAAGCAAACTTCAATAGAATTGACAGTCGTTCTGATATTTACGCTTGCGATTAGCAAGCGTTATCAAATCGGAATGTAGCCTTGTTTCGGGTTAACACCTAGCTGAACAAAATCACTTGAATACTGTTTCATGAAAATTCAAATGCAGCTGACATGCTCAATTTCAATGCTCAATAATGCATGTTTTATAAAAATGTATAGGATTGGGTTTTGCAAAAAGTTAAACCGATTTTCAAAAGAAGGGTATTTATGGAAAGACCGCTTACACCTGTGCGCCTGCCTTCCCCCTGGTCTCCTTTTGCTTTACCCATTTGTCTGCAGCGTTGGAAAAAGTCTGTAGGGAGAATAATTGACCAATTTTTTTTTAATTTTCTCAAAAGCTAACCTACCAAATCTTTTTATGTTTCAATGAATAGTGCGGATTTGAAAAGCGCATCTCTATAAGCGGCTACGCCCAAACTTTTTTCTACGTATAAAATGATGGCCCTCGGAATAGTGAATATTTTTTGACCGTTTTTTGAATCTTTTTGATTTTTTTCGAAAACTTACCTCCCAAACCTGAGGTTACGGGTTCAATGGAGATTACGGCTAGTGGGAAGCTCTCTTGACTTAGCAGAAGCTCACAACTTTTTTACACAAAAAGTTATCATCCTCGGAAAAATCATGATTTTCTGAGTTTTTTCTAAGTTGCATGAATTTAACAAAAAAATACACTCCCATATCAGGGATGCTGGGTTCAATCCAAAGAACGGGTTGTACAAGTCTACTAGCCGACTACATCCAACTTTTTTGACACAATCAGTTTTATTGGTTTTGTGAACTCAGTCAGGTTTAGCAAAGCATGCCGCGGTGCATGAATCAAACATTTTTATGATGTGTTTGAATACAAATTCTGGTCTAATTTGCTGTAAGTCACTGTTTAACTAAAGGGATTTTAAGAGATGAACTAAGAGTTAAAGCAAGTTTTTTTTTACGCAGATAGCTTTAAATTGTTGCCTAGCTGGAGCAATTTTTGCGTTATGCTTGTTTAACGTTGTAGCATGTAAGTGCACTTTAAAAATTGCGTCGGATTTGTCTCGCGTAAAATAAACATTTCAATTTCAGAAAAAAATTCGGATTGAGTAATAGCATTAACGAAACTGTTTTATTGCGAAAGTAAGCGCTTTAATTTATTGCGAAGTTTTTCCGAAAATGTTTTCCGATGTCTACCAAAATTGAGATTGATCTTAAGATTACACGCCAGGGCTAGTGTTTTTTTCACTTGCGAGACCAAGTTACTTGTAATCGGGAACTAGTCATTTTTCCCTGTAAATAACGTTTCATACAAATCTGATGGAAGTACTAGCATTTTCGTTATCCGTCTATCTTGTAGATGCGGGAGCCTTTGAACCCTAAGGTCTGGAGTTAGAATCACGACCGGACCTTTTTTCATTGATTTTGGAATTAGGTTTTTTGGAATTTGAAGTTTGAAATGTCGGACTTTCGTTTGCCTGCTCTTTTTCTCGACTTAATTTTCCAGTCATGGAATTTTCTTCTGATTTAAGCAAACTTCAATAGAATTGACAGTCGTTCTGATATTTACGCTTGCGATTAGCAAGCGTTATCAAATCGGAATGTAGCCTTGTTTCGGGTTAACACCTAGCTGAACAAAATCACTTGAATACTGTTTCATGAAAATTCAAATGCAGCTGACATGCTCAATTTCAATGCTCAATAATACATGTTTTATAAAAATGTATAGGATTGAGTTTTGCAAAAAGTTAAACCGATTTTCAAAAGAAGGGTATTTATGGAAAGACCGCTTACACCTGTGTGCCTGCCTTCCCCCTGGTCTCCTTTTGCTTTACCCATTTGTCTACAGCGTTGGAAAAAGTCTGTAGGGAGAATAATTGACCAATTTTTTTTTTAATTTTCTCAAAAGCTAACCTACCAAATCTTTTTATGTTTCAATGAATAGTGCGGATTTGAAAAGCGCATCTCTATAAGCGGCTACGCCCAAACTTTTTTCTACGTATAAAATGATGGCCCTCGGAATAGTGAATATTTTTTGACCGTTTTTTGAATCTTTTTGACTTTTTTTCGAAAACTTACCTCCCAAACCTGAGGCTACGGGTTCAATGGAGATTACGGCTAGTGGGAAGCTCTCTTGACTTAGCAGAAGCTCACAACTTTTTTACACAAAAGTTACCATCCTCGGAAAAATCATGATTTTCTGAGTTTTTTCTAAGTTGCATGAATTTAACAAAAAAATACACTCCCATATCAGGGATGCTGGGTTCAATCCAAAGAACGGGTTGTACAAGTCTACTAGCCGACTACATCCAACTTTTTTGACACAAAAACTTATGGCCCTCGGAAAAGTTAAAAAAAATGGTTTTTGAATCTTTTAAACTTTTCTAAAGAACTACCTGCCAAACCTGGGGTTTGGGTTCAGTCGAAATTACAGATTATGTGAATCTCTCTGCATAAGTGGCTAATCCCATTTTTTAAAAACAAAAAGCTATAATTCTCGGAAATGCGAACTATCTGATTTGTTAACCGTTGTTTGCTCTTTTCTCGATAACTATCCGGTCAAATCTGATATCATAGGTTTAATCAACACAAAGCTTACCTTTATAATTTGCTACGCCCAGTTTCTTTTAGAGAAAATGTTACGGCCTTCAAACACGTTGAAGTTTTGAAACTTTGATCGTTTTTTGACTACTCGAAAATTACTGAGCCAATTCTCAAATTACCCTGCCAATTCTTAAGTGTTCAATCGAGAAACCCGGTTTCAGGAATCTTCTCTACGTTACCGCTCACGACCTGCTTTGAGCAGAAAAAAGTTCAATGTTTCGAAATTTCTTAAAAACTATCTATCAAATCTGAGATGAGAAGTTCAATCGAAAGAAGCGGTTCCGCGATTTTTTCCTGCAGAAGTATTGCTTCTTATTTTTTTTGTAAGAGAAATGTTATATCTTGGAGAAAGCTCCATAATTTAGAAAACTTTTAGTCTACTTATTTCAATGGACAAACAACTAAGGTTTTGGGCAAAGTCTAATTTTTGAAATCACGCATTTCGTTTTGCTTCAGTATAGCAAGTTCAAAAATATCAAACACCTACGTCCAGCTTTAGCTGGGCTCTAGCTGTCCTTCATCGAGACGTACGAAAATGTTGGTTCACCTAGTTTTTTTTAACGTTCTCTTTTCTACTTTTTTATTGTGTTGTATCGCAAGTGCGAAGCTCCGCTTCTTCGCCTTATGTTGTGAATTTGCCAGCTGGTTTTTATTTTTTTTATCAAGCACTTTCGTTTACGTTTTTCTGAAGTAGTCACCTAATTTGTTTGTATTGTTTTGAATATTTCAGGGGGCATGGGGTGTAATAGCTTCATTTTTTGAAGCTTAATCGCTCAAAAAAAATTATGACAATTTATGACAGTATTGTTTTCGGCTCAACGGGCCCTCTTTTCAATCATTGTCATCTTAGTAGCCGCTTCGGCTCGGTAAATGAAAGCTTTTTCTTTCCGCTTGGCTGTTTCTCTCGACAGTTTTTCTTAAGTTGTATTTGCGAAGCGTGTTTTTTCTCTAGTGGCATAATTTTTAGATAAAAAGCTTACTTATAAGGACGATTGGAAGTTGTCCGAACAAAAGCATCTCTAAGTTGAACACTTTCGTAGCGTATGGAAGGTTCAAAAATGCAGAACCAATCAAAGCATTGAGCATAATAAAAGTGGCGCCTGCAGTTGAAGTTCTTCCTCCGTACTTCAGTTTGGTAATGGTTGTTGAAAAATCTGGTCGATATTCCTCGTTGCTACTGTTGCATTCGGAATTTTCCGTTGAATGATGAGAGGAAATAATTGTTCCATAATTGTTGCTATGAGCAGACATTGTACGCTCTTCTTGTAGGTCCAAGTCTTGATGTTGCATGGCATCTTCGTTTAATGCTTCGTGGTGAAATAAGTTAGTTGTGCTCATTGCTGGTGACAAATAGATGTATTTAAGTGAAAAAAAATTAGTAAACTGAATTATCCAGAAATCAGTTTAAAATGAATCAAAATAATTAATTAAGGGGTGTTTGCAAAGAGGTGTTTAACTTGCTTGGATGTTTATTTGCTGTTTTGTGTTCAATATCTAGTATCGCCTTGAAGAATAAACTTAAGGAAAATAAACCAAAAATGATCTCAAATGTTTGACACTGTGTGACATGAATCGATCTCGAGGTCACCAGAGGTTCTAGATTGAAATTGATAATGTATCTTGTGATTCGATTGTCAAATGTCAACTCGGTTATTAAACAAACTAATCCAGACCTTTGGACCAGTTAAGTGGTGTATGCTAGCTGGCTCATGCAATCTAAATGATATCAGCTCCATATTGGTTACTAAATCAACTCGAATGTTTTCTGTCATTGAAAGCATCCTGTTTGGTTCTGAGTTTGGTTAGCTGAACGTGGGGCAAATATGGATATGATCAATTTCATTGACTCATCAGCAAAATATTGTTGATTTTTTTTATAAACAATTATATAATCAATTTTAGCTGTTTAACTATTTCATTGAATTGCAGCAAGATTATTTTAGGATCAGAAAACTAAAATGAATTAGTTTTTTAGTTTTTTAAATCTCAAAAGTCGTAGCATTGGGTTGTTGCGAGAGATCTTAGCGTGTGCGTGATGAATGATCATCACGTAGAATTAGAACTGGAATGAGTGAGCATAAGCGTAGAATTGTCGACCATTTAGGTTTTTTTTGGATTTTTCAGATTGTAGTGAAGGAATTTGTTCAGTTTGTAATTTTTCATCTCATAACTTACGTTACTTGATTTTAAAAGCTCGAGTTCAGAACTCCAATAGCAAAAATGAGAAGTTTCTGGAAAATTCCATTTATTCGATTCATTATCTGAATGATCAAAAATGTAACAAGACTGCTCGTATCAGGGCGAAGCCTTGAATGTTCCGACTGCCTTTTAAGGTCTATGGAGCAGTAATAACATGAAAAAGTTAAATGAAATAAAATAAAACTAATTTTTTAAGAGTAATGAACGTAGTGAAGACTCTTATATAGATCCTGCTGATTTTTTTCTTTGTTTTTTTTTCAGGAAAAAGTCTTGAAATATTGATGCACATATAATGCACTTTTTGAGTTCAATTGAAATTAATTAGCTGAAAGTAACGTAAATAGCGCTCTCAAAATACTTTTTAAACAATTTTCCAGTTTGAATTCAGTGTTGATTTTACCGAGTTTAGAATAAGCAGTCCAATAATGGGATGCTGTCTGGGGTCTCCCAGGGTTTGCTAATTTGGCCTCCAATTATGAATGCCCAAATCCTTTTAGGGTACGAGATACGACGATTTTTGTGTTTTTAAATGAATTTTTTTTCTTCAAAATTTAAAATTCTCAACCATGTAGTTGGGTACTGTCAGAGTACTCCCAGGAATTGCGATTTTTGCTTCCAAGTATGACTGCTCCAATCCTTGCAGTTTTTGAGATATGGCGTTTTTTGTGATTTTTTCACAAAAACTTTCAGAAAACAGAAATTAATTTTTTTCAAAATTCAAAATTCTCAACCATGTAGTTGGGTACTGTCAGAGTACTCCCAGGAATTGCGATTTTTGCTTCCAAGTATGACTGCTCCAATCCTTGCAGTTTTTGAGATATGGCGTTTTTTGTGATTTTTTCACAAAAACTTTCAGAAAACAGAAATTAATTTTTTTCAAAATTCAAAATTCCCAACCTTGTTGTTGGGCGCTGTCAGAGTACTCTCAAGGATTTCTAATTTTGCCTCTAATGTTGTTTTCGAGATATGATGTTTTCTGTGATTTTTTCAAAAAATTTGCATAAAACATAAATTCATTTTTTTTTCTTAAAAATTTGAGTCCTGTACTTGGGTGCTGTCAGAGTACTTTCAAGGATTGTAAATCTTCCCTTCTTGACTATTCAATTGCTTGTAGTTTTTGAGATATGACGTTTTTTGTGATTTTTTTTATTTTCAGAAAATTAATTTAATTTTTTTTTCTTCAAAACTTGAAGTTCCCAACCCTGTAGCTAGGTGCTGTCAGAGTACTCTCGGAGATTGTAAATCATTCTCCTCTTATATCACTACTCAAATTTTTGTAGTTTTCCAGATTGACGATTTTTGTGATTTTTTCAAAAATGTTTCAGAAAACTTAAATTTTTTTAATTTTTTTTTAAATTTGAAATTCCTAACTCTGTTGTCGGGGGGCTGTCAGAGTACTCTCAGGGGCTTCGAATCTTGCCTCTACATGTGACTGCTCAATTTTTGACAGTTTCCGATATATAATTTCTTAATGGTTTTTCAAAAAAAAAAAACTTTTAGAGAAGTTAAGTTTGAAATTTTTCAAAATTTGAAATTCCCAACGCTGTATTTGGGTATTGGAAGAGTACTCCCAGGAGCTGCAAATCTTGCGTCTAAATGCTACTGTTCGTTTTAACACTTGCAATCCAGTAGAAATCATTTTAAATTGAAGCGAGGAAGGCTAAATGGTGTAAACATTACCCAACTAGATGCAAACTATCACTCTGTCGTCAATATTGGTGGTGTCCTTGTGACAGGAAAGTCGGTACACTCATAGCCTAGCCCCGATACGAGCAGTCTTTTCTTTGTATGATTATGGCTTTTAACTCGGGACTCTGAAGCCCCTTAAATTTGTCCAAAACCTGTTTTTTTATTAAGAGTCACTGAACGTAGTGAAGGCTTATCTAGGTCTTGGTTATTTTTTGTTTTTTTTTTGCTCAGGAAAAATCCTAAAATGCTCTAATTACTACAGATCTGCATTCATAAAAATAAATGCATTAATGAATGCATTTAGGTCTATATGCACTTTTTGAGTTCAATTGAAATTCATCTGCTAAAAGTTAGGTAAATTGCGCTCTCTAAATACGAACGTGGAAATGGCGCAAAGAACGTGAACGACCTCTAGTTTCGAAAGTGGAATTTAGTTTTTAGATTTCCCAGTGCAATCAAAACTTTACCTATTGATCCATATTTTTCAAATTGAGGTAATTTTATTAAAATACGTCTTGAAGTTCAATGAGCATTAAGGCCATTTATGTTTTTACTTGTAAATTTGAAAGTGAAGTTTTTTGTTATAAAAGTCTTCATTTGCATCATAAGTCACTTTTTTTTCTGTTTCCCTGCGTTCATTTATTCTTCCAACTGCCTGTCGGAAAAAATTTGTGTCAAGGATCTCTTAAGTGCTGCTTCTGTTTTTAGGAGCAAGCCAGTAGACAACAGGAAACTGCGATCTCAACTCCGCCAACTGATCTACCAGATCCACAACATCATGCTACTCCTGCCTCAACTACCGGACACGACAATCACTCTGAAACTCCTGATCTACACCAAGGAAAACGCAACTGTGAGCGAGGAGTTCCTGGAGACGACTCAACACCTGATTGCAGAGCCACAGTCAATCGATTTTGATAAAGTGAACACCAATATACACACTGTTAAATCATCAGTGCAGTATAAGAAAGACAGCAACATGACTACGATTTAGTGCGATGATGATGCTTTGGTTTAATCACGTGGATGATGAGTTCTATTGTGCAATGGATTGTTGATGCAGCGAATGACTGATTGAGGTTGACGTAGTCTGTGATTTAGTGCAATATGAAACTCTAGTTTTCAAGCTATTAGAAAGATAGCGATCTTAATAAAAAGAAAAACTTGCTTGTACTTTTTAGACCACCATTTTCTCTCTGATGTTTGCTTATCTCGACCAGAATAAAATAATCAGATCATTTTTTTATTTACTCACGCGGGAAAAATGGGATATGAAAATTATGATGAAGCCTTGTCTCATGCTCAATATTGGATGCACAAAAATGATGGTCAAAAATAACCTCAATAGGCAAAACAATTAGTTGAATATGTTTTTGTTGACTATGATTTGTTTACAATTTTTCCAACTACATGTTGGCTATTGATGTTTGAATGATTTGCTTACATAAAGTGCAACTGCGAACTACATTTTATTAGTTATCGTTTTCGTTTTTAATTCACAGATGAGTTCCGTTTACTTTTTGTACTTCAGTGCAGGGGTGAAAACTGTTTCAGTAGCTTCTTCAATAGTTGATTCTCCGACTGGTTTTTTGGTTTCTGCCAAAATATAACCAAAAACAGGTTGAACTGCTAGGGTGTCCTTATTCTGTATAATGGCAATAAGGCCGCTTTTGAGAGTCAACTCCCTAATTTTTGGCTCGCTTGCTCCTGGTGCGACATCAGTTGGTTCTTCGTTTGTCGGTTTTTGAGAATCATTTGCTTGAGGCTCTGGTAGGTGTATATGGACGTTAGTCTTACACATACTAGTTGGAAATTTTTTCTTGGGGTATTTGACTATTTTAGGAGGCATTACTTCATTGTAGCCTGCCCGCCATTGACCGATGAAGTCGTTGGGGATTATGTTGCCAGAGCCGTCGTCAACATAAGGGAAGAATGCCTGGATCCATCCGGAGTATGGCATGTAGATCCCGTTTTTGTCGTTGAGATTGTAGATGTACTTCCAGAAATGAGGATCCGGATTGCCTTAAATGTACACCCGAATTTGAAAAATAAAAATAAACAATCGAAATAAGAATAAAGTTTTGTTATGAGACATGACTTGAGTCCCGATATAACTTAGGCGAAATTATTTTTTTTTCGATATGACGAAAATTCATTTTAATAAATGACTCAAAAATGAGGCGTTATTGTTTTTTTTTGTACCGTGAACAGCTTTGATGAATTCGTTCAGCACTGGAATCAATTCGGAAGCCCACCAATCCAAAGCAAACTTGGAGCTCATCTCATTTACTTTCCCAATTATAGCTTCGTAGTCTTGAGCAGTGCCTCGAACATGAATCGAGGGAATACAGCTCTGCACAATGACATTGTACCTCTTGAACTCGTTTGGACTTTGAGTCGCATTTGCTGCTGTGAGGCCTTGACATGTTCGCATGGACATGGCACTTGCTGTCGTGGATCCATTTGTGGCAAGCAAAGGGTTGAACGATGCCTCGGGCTCTATTCTTGTTAAGCTGATTTTGCGCACGGGAAGTGAATCTTTTTGGTACTTTTGTTTGAAAATATCGCCGATACTATCTACTATAGCAGTCCATTCGAGCTTTTCGTTCCCTTCTTTGACGAAATGATCCTGCTCTACAGGAGCTTCAGAGATATCGGTCGAGATTTCAGGGTGAAAATTTAAGTGGGTCGTAACTCCTTGAAGAATGGTGAACCAGATAACTTCTGGTGTTAGTACAAGTGGGAACATTTTATGTGCCGCAAGGTTAACTGCTCCAAGCAAGTTGTTACATTCATCTATAGCTATAGGGAATGATTTGGTGTTTTCATCAATAGTTTGACTGTATAGTTCGGCGCAGTAAGTTTTCAAAATACCCTGAGACGATTTAGGTTGTTTTTTCTTCGGGTAGAAAGATTTCAAGCAGCCGAGTTCGAACTTTTCCTTGCTGAAAATGATTTCACGCACAGGATTTGGAGGAAAGTTGGTATGCACTGGAATTTTGGTGGTGGGAACGAAAGATTCATTTTCTTTTAAGCGATTAGCTATGGTCATTTTTTGATCTCTAGTTTGATGGTTTATTGAAGGTAAAATAATTGTAAGAGAAATAATTTGATTCGATATGGTATAGAAGTAGTAACAAGTGATACAAAAATTATTTAATTTGAAAGGATAAAATGAATTATAAAATATCTTTTGTACAGTGATAAATGAAAAGATTTGAAAGCATACGTTGAGTAAATAAAGTTGCATGTGCTTTATTTACCAACGTGGCAGTGTGGTTTTTTCTTTCAAAGCAGATGTGGTATACTTTGTTTTGGAGCGGCATATACTCAAATGGAACTAATGAGCTCTACAACTCTGCAGAAGGCTGGTTATTGCTGAATATGTCTTACCGAGTTCTCCTTAAAGCTAAAAGACTGAAAGCAAGGCTCGGCTCAAAATGAGTGGATGCCCTAAGAACTGTTTTTGAAAAAAAAGTCCATTTTTTTAAAATTATTTTTCAACAAACGACTATTGTGTTATATTAATGCTTGTTTGGCCGAAGTGCCTGCGCATTAGTCTTGCGCAAATGAAACTTTGAGTATTTGAAACAATTCATTGAGCGAGTCAGTGCTTGTGGTGCGTCAGTGCGCGTGTTTCTATAATTTGGTAGGTAGAATTTGGGGTGTTTGGAGCCCGGGGTCTACTAACTTGGCTTTTTGAGAGCTTTTTTAGTATCGAAATAATCTATCAAAGATCATCATAAAGAAAAATGTGAGATTTTTAAATAATGTATGCGAAGCAATGAATCTCTGGGTTTAAAAATATTGATTTAGAGGCTTGTGATTTGCAGACATTGTCAATTCTGAATCTACTTCTTCAGTCAATTAAATTGTCTTTCAGCAAGTATTACTAAATTGTTCGCCTAAAATTTCTATTTGTAATCTAGCTATTGCATGATGTGTTTTAAAACGGGAAATATTTGAACAGGGATACTGGCATTGGCGATTTAATATTTCTGGCTAAATATCGATTTTAAAAACGTCACATATTAAATTTTTTTGACTACCTTGGTCTGAACCAGCCGTATGTGAAGGAATTTTGATATCGAGGGTTTTACGTGGGTTTTGAAATGGTAAAGGTTTTTGACATTGAAAAATGATCTTTTTTAAAATTGTTTTTATCTAACTAGTTTAAATCTAACAAGTTAACATTTATTTTTACCTACAGAGTTTTTACGCGAGTGTTCTTCCTGTTTTGTTGGTAGCTAGAAATGCGAATTGTCAAGCGACCGTGGCGCAGATGCGAAGCCACGAGAGCCTTAATCTACAGGTCAAGGTCGGGGCTTCCATTCCTGTACATATCAAAAGTTATATGTTTAGCATTGGCAATTAAATGGCATCTGTTATCTCTGCTTCAATGGTGATCAGTGTTTGCAGATTGACGAGCGTCTGTGGCGTAGATGCGAGGCCATTAAACTCTTAATCTCCAGGTCGAAGACTCGATATTTGATTTTTTTTCTATCTTCACCTTATTCCAACTCTTAGAGCTACGTTTTGCAGTTGTATCGCTTGTCTGTGCGAAGTGCAGTTTTGCCTCCGTGTAAACGTTTAAAGCAGTTTAAATGACGCTCAACTAGCAGTAGCTCTAAAATAACAAATAAGCAAAGATTGAATCAGCTCTTTTGTGATCTCAGCAGAAATGGTGAAATCCCTCATACGAAAAGGACCGATTGAGCGAAAATAAAAACCATCCAATCAGATTTCAGTAATCTAAAATTTGGAAAGAAAGCGTGAAAATCTGAGAGAAAGTAACCCTTTCCAGCGACTTAATATTGATAGTGGGCGAATATAAAAACAGCAAAAATATGCAAGTTGAAACAAAGGACCGAGTTGAAACAAAGGACCGCGAAGGACCGAATGGGCGAAAAACCGAATGCGCGAAAAACTTGTGGGTGAAAGACGGAAAATAAGTCTAGCTGAAAGTCAATTTTAAACAAAAATCAATTGCCATTCGATTAAAAGGAATTAAATGAAGCAATCTTTTGCTTCTTTCATAACAAAAGCCTTGAAGTATAAAATTTGTTCCAATTCGTCGGCGGTCAGTGACAATTTGAAAATTTTGCATATTTCTGCCGTTTTTATATTTGGCCACTATCAATATTAAGTTCCTGGCAATGTTTCCTTTCACCCAGATTCTCACGCTTTCTTTCCAAATTTTAGGTTGCTGAAATCTGATTGGCTGATTTTTATTTTCGCGCATTCGGTATTTCATGTATGAGGAATTCCACCATTTCTGCTGAGATCATGAAAGAGCTGATTGAATCTTTGCTTATTTGTTATTTTAGATCTACTTCTAGTTGAGCGTCATCTAAACTGCTTTGAACGTTTACTTGGAGGCAAAGCTGCACTTCGCAAACACAAGCGATACTACTGCAAAAAGTAGTGTTTGGTGTCGTATGAAGTGTTTTTTTCCTTCAGTGCAGAATTGCTGATATAAGCAAAGGTGTGGGACAATGACGGCATTTCGTTTTGTAATTGGACTATCTGTCAAATTCCGCCGATATTGGATCAAGCTTCCGTCCCCTATCTTTACAGCACATCAACTCTTGAAAATCGATCAAGTTCATTTAAAAAAAAACTGCCTTGAAAACAAAAAGAGGTAGACAGTTTTGGTAAAAGTAGAGTTGTCAGTTACGTTGAATATCAGTGAGATAATTGCCTTTTTGAGGACGCTTAATCCCAGACTAAACATCTTTTCGCGTCTGTCAATCATTTATGCTTCAGTTGTAAACACATCAGTCTGCCTAAAGGCCCAGTTTCTCTTTTTGTGCTGAAAGTTTGGTCTGCTGAATGAACCAGTCTGCACTGCGTTTTCGTGCCCTGCTTTCAATTGTAAGTGCAGACGAAGAGTCGGAGCTTAAAACAGATTTTTTTGAGATACTTACGTTTGCTGTAATGTTTCGGCGACACTTCCTATGTTTTTTTGTTTAGTTCTGCTCAATGCCCCCAATAGCTCTATGCGAAATTTTTAGTTACTTATTTGCCTCCTATTGCAATATTTTAAGGATTTTGTTAACTGCGTGAGGGATCAAAGTTTTAATAACAAAATAGATTTCCGGGGATTAATAAAAAAGATTTGTCCGTGTTTACTTTTGCCTGGCTAAGTAGGTTTTTACGAAGCTTATGCCTAGAAGATATTTATGTATTTTATAGCTAATTTTTGATTGATTTATTTCAGCCGCGCATTTTGAAGATATCAAAAGATCCGAGGTTTTTGGCAGAAAATTGTGACTCATCGAAGCTTTTCTTCGCTTACTTGCATCGTGTTGCTTCTTGGTGGGTCTGTCTCAGACGCATCAGGACGTGAGCAAGGATGTAATTATGTTAACATCAGTAAACATTCGCAAAGACCTCTTTGGAATGTGTGTACAAAAATTGGATGTATCGTATGAGAAAGAGTTATAAAAATTCCGCAATCTTCAAAATTCATAATTACTTCACTATCATCATCATCATCGTTGGTTTTCCACCCTCTTCTAAGATTAGAAGGTGTAGTGAGAAAATCCTAAAGCGGCCATATTCTCTATAGTGATAGATTTGTATGAAAGTATTCTGTTTTGAACAGCCTAACGTGGCCACTGTACATCTGTTTTTTGCCCCAATATGTTCTGTTCTGAACAGCCTAAAGCGGCCACTGTACATCAGTTTTTTGCCCCAATATGTTCTGTTCTGAACAGCCTAAAGCGGCCACTGTACATCAGTTTTTTGCCCCAATATGTTCTGTTCTGAACAGCCTAAAGCGGCCACTGTACATCAGTTTTTTGCCCCAATATGTTCTGTTCTGGAGAGCCTAAAGCGGCCACTGTACATCAGTTTTTTGCCCCAATATGTTCTGTTCTGAACAGCCTAAAGCGGCCACTGTACATCAGTTTTTTGCCCCAATATGTTCTGTTCTGAACAGCCTAAAGCGGCCACTGTACATCAGTTTTTTGCCCCAATATGTTCTGTTCTGGAGAGCCTAAAGCGACCACTAAATTTCTGTTTTTCGGATTTTCTGAACCAATTTTGAACTAACACTGAGTCTAAAGCGGCCACTGATTAAATAAGCGAAAGTTTTCTGACAGCGAAATAAGTTGAAGTCATCAATCAGCAAATAGATGGTGAGGAATGACACCAGTGAAGTCAATACTGATTTTTGTTTGCAGGCCTTACAGCGGCTATAAGTTATATCAAAGCAGCATTAATAAATGTATAATTTAAGGGTAGACCTAAGAGTGGGTAGAACCTGAAAATCAATCTCGTAACTACAAAAAAACAGCCGACATTTTTATATTGCCAGCCGAAATTTGTTATCGGTTACTCGACTTTTTCTGTAAAAAGCGTTGCCAACAGATTTCGCTCGTGAGATGTAAGGTGTTTGACTGTTTCTGCCGATGCAACCTAGAGGTAAGGCCCATGATTAGAACGATTTAGGCCAGGTGTTCGAGTCCGGTAGTGACCTGTGTTTTTCCGCACTGAAAGTTTTCTGCATATTAAAGATCGCATTATAGTGAGTTTGCGTATTCTTGTGGGTTAGGTTCCCGCAGCATGCATTTTCTTGAAGGCTCCGCTATGTTCACAATTTTTGAATACGATATCTAGTGTGTGAGGTGTTTGAGCTCGAAGATTTCGTTATTCGCTTTAAAGGCTTCTGAGGCTCAATTTCTCCGTGCTGTATCAATTTATTTGCCTAATTATACGTCGTTTGAAAGGCGATATTTCATTTTGTGCGTTTGTGCTTTAGGGACGTAAAGACTTTCTATAGCTCATTGTATAATATGACCATTTTATCAACTGGTGCCTAGATATGTCTGCTTTGTTACCACTCCGATGAATTTTGTTTCAATACTTGTTAAACAGAGGAGTTCGTGTTCGTTCACATGTTTTCTATGTCATTTTCTTAAACTTTTTTAAATAATGTGTTCGTCTTGCTTTCTGTATGGTAGTTTCTATGCTATTTGCGAACTCTTAATTTTATTTTCGTGATTGTCGAGCACGATAAATTACTTTTTTGGGGTTAACTTGATTTCTGAACTTCATAAAAACTTGGAAAGTTACGCGTGGTTTCTCAATATTGCGAAGCTCGATAATGCAGTAAAAAAACCTAAGCAAACGTTGCTTCATGGTAAAAAAGTTTCTCCTAGCATAAGGTAAAAGCAAACGAATTTTTATATTGTGAAAGATTTGAAAAAGACTAGACAAAATCAACTCAAACACGGAAAAAAAATTTTCCGGAGAATTTTAGCGCTCCATCTAATGATGGAAATACTCTAGTTCTAAATGATGGAAATGTTTTTCCAGTAACTTGTAGCGGGGTCTTCTTGCTCATGTTTAAGTCAACAATGTTTAGAGTATCTTCCTTCTTTTAACCGTGCACATGGACTATTAGCTGCGACTGCACCATCAAGAACTGTCGCTTCCGCTTGCCGGAATTCAACAACTTAAACTCATAATTTGTGCTGCGGGGGAAACCCCTTCACAATTATGTTGTGTTAATTCTTTATAATAATAATAATAGTAATAATAACAGAGCAACTCGTACAATTTTTGCGATTCTGTCTTGAAAACCTGCTGTACTTTCAGGGCAATGGACGTGGACATTCAAAAGGAGGAAAGCCCGGCTTTCGGACAATGTTGGAGTCAACTGAACAAAATTCTGCGTCCTTTCTTTGCTGCCAAGTTCTCAGTACGCGAAAGCGACATTATTGCGAAATATTTGTCGTTGAAAAAAGAAATTGAACCGCACCTTAGATTATTGAAAGAAGTTGATTATTTGCCAATTTTTCAAAAGTATGTACTTCATATGTTTTCTTGCTATTTTCACAATGAAGTGCTGCCGCAATTCTTGGAAACGTTGAAACTTTTGAAGTCAAGAGACTTGAGAAAAATAGCTGTAACTGATGAAATATTGGATCGTTTTTTATCGTCGGTTAATGAAATGCAAAACTCGGTTGAGTTTGTTATGAATGCGTCGAAGATTATCGATGAAATACCCAATCTAGAGATTAGCCTTCACTCCAGATTGACAGATCTCCTGAAATCATTCATACTATATCATGTAAGAGAAATTGATGGGCTGGCACTTGATAAAATCTTCATGGCTTATTTCCAAGTTTCTTATTCAGGTTCACGAGGGAATAAATATTTGCCAAAGCGGCGACTCAGATCTTCTATAAGTCGCTTTGATAAAAAGAACCCAGAATCGACGCAACTTGACCAGAGTTTCTATAAAGCATTTAGTTTCCTGTTTTCGTTGTCTCTGTTCGACCAAATCTTCAGGGATCCCTTGAAGTTGTTCTTAGAAGTTACGATTCGCGATGCAGTGGTTAATTTATGCACTACTGATTTTCTTAACGCAGAAGTCGAATTTATGGCTGTGAAAGATTACGCTGAATTTGTTTGTCTTATTTTTGTATCAGAAATTGTTGCTCTCAAGTTGGATAAATTTATAATTTCACCCGAAGAGGAAAAATTCTGGACGAATTATGTGAGCGAAACAGTAAAAGGAGAGGTGGCGTTGTTCCGAATTGAGCAGATTTTTGCAATGATTGTGGAGTATCCGGACTCACAACCAGCGATTGATAATTTGATACACCTTTTGTCTTCCAAGAAGTTAACGAATCATCTGGTAAAGTCGGTTAAGTCCGCTTTTGAGACGCGCCTTTTGCACCCTGGAGCTAATACAAGTGAGATTTTGACTCAGTATATCAATGCGATTAAAGTGCTGGGGCAGCTAGATGACACGTGCTCGATTCTGGATAGAACCTGTGCTCCGCTCATCAAGTATTTAAGGGCGAGAGAGGATACTGTTCGGTAAGTTGGGTGGTTAATTTAATCACCTTATTTCGAATACTGAAGTTATTGAAAACACTTAATCAAACGAATTTACTCTGAGGCAGAATTTACTTTCGCAATCATTTCCAATGTTATTTTGAAAAACATGCTTACGATAAAGATATCTCACCAAAGCCAAAAAGATAAAAATTGGTATCCGCGTCCTGAGGGGACGAAAAAATAGAAGTCGTTTATTTGTTTCAGCCGCTTAGTAATACAGTTGATCTGTTTCAGCTGCATAGTATGCAACATGACTGAAGACGCCGAACTAGCTGGAGAACTGTTGCGGCGATGCGAACTCCAAGTGGCACCTGACCCCTACGAGAGCGACGACGAAGACATAGACTGGCACACCTGGAAACCCAAACCACGTGATTACATCCCTGGCCAATCAGACTTGGACGACATGTTCGAAGCACCCGTAGTACAGAGTCACAGGAACCAAGACATAATGAGTATTCTGGTCAATATCTACGATTCCAAAGAGATATTTGTAAACGAGTACAGATCACTGCTGGCTGATAGAATTCTAAACAGCTCGCCTGATTTTGACTCAGACAAAGAGTTGCGTCATTTGGAACTTCTGAGCTACAAATTTGGAAACGATGAAATTAATAAATGCAATGTAATGCTTCGAGATGTGGCCGAATCGAAAAGAACAAACGAGCAATTAGTTCAAAGTTGGAACGAACTTGAAAGTCACGCGGAAGATGCCGAAATGAAATCGGACAGCGAGAACAGCAAAATTGTCAAGCCTGATTTCCCGATAAGAGGAACTATTTTATCGGCTCAATTTTGGCCCACTTTGAAGGAAGAAAAAATTGAACTTCCACCAAAGCTAAAACAAGCGTTCCAGTGTTACAAAGTGAGTTACGAAGGCGTTAAGCAAACAAGAACAGTAGAATGGATCCATAATTTGGGAAAAGTGGAAGTGGAGCTAGAAAGTAAGGATGGATCGGTAAGAGAATTCACAGTGACGCCTTTACAAGCTGCAGTTTTGAGCATTCTTGAAACGGAAACGAAAATGGGGCTTGAAGATTTGAGTTCAAATTTGGGTATTTCGGCATCGGTTGTTCGTAGAAAGCTAGGCGGGCTTTTGTCCCTGGGCGTATTGATCGAAACGAATGGAATCATTGAATTGGTGGAAGACTTCGCGCCTTCTGAAGCTAACGAAGACGCTTCTGGCGGAATGACGTCATCGGCTGCTGGTCCGAGCTCGTCTTCGACTGGTCCAATTTCTTTATATGGAAATGATGACGAGGATAATGAATCTGCAATGGCTAACGAGAAAGAGCTGAAAGAGGAGGAGATGAAATGCTATTGGATGTATACGGTGTCTATGTTACGAAATCTGAAAAGCATGTCGGCTGAAAATATACACTCGATGATCAAAATGTTTTCAAAGGCGGGCAATTCAACTGAATTGTCGCAGGAAGATTTGACGGCGTTTTTGAACAAAAAAGTGAGAGAAGAACTGTTATGTTATACCAACGGCGTTTACCGTTTGCCAAATAAAAACTAATATGTAAAATTGTTTAATTGTTTGAAATGAATTAGAGTATTTAACATGCTTGTTTTTATGAATAGTTCGCATGGTTAGGTATTGCAACTGGGCGCTCAGCTTTGTTTCCACGTAAGTGTTTGTTTTCACAGGATGACTTTGGTGGAATTGGTCAATGAATTTCGCCAACCAATAGACACTTTGAGCATTTATGCATTTATTTAAGTTTCAGTTTTTTCCATTTGTTAAAATTTCAGTTTTTCCTTTTTCTATTTATTCGGCTGTAAAAGTTTCAGTTTATATTATATCGGCTTATATTGCGTCGTTTGATGAGCGTACAAAGTTTTTAATGAGTGTGCGTTTTGTGTTGGGGTCTAAGAAAACATTTTTTTTTCCGGATCAACGGGCCTCTGCTCAAGTATTGGCTGCTTTGATACCGCTTGGTTGGTTTTCTTCCGATGCTACTAGCTTCACGTTCCATCGTCTTGGCTTTTTCAAATTGAAAAATAATGTTGTAAAATTGTTTAATTATTGGAAATGAGTTAGAGCATTGTTTACCCTTGCGATACACTATTAAATGTATTGCAATAGGGTACTAGACTTTGTTTTACCGTAAATTTTTTTTCTTTTATAGGATGACTTTGGTGGAATTGGTCAATCAATTTGGTCAACCAATGAACATGTTTTCAGCCTGTTTGCTTTGTTAAAATTACAGTTTTTTCTGTATGTCAAAACTTCAATTTTTTTTTATTCGGCTTTAAAACTTTCAATTTTTGTTATATCGGCTCATTGGTCTGTGATTGCATCTTTTGATGGGTGGACAAAAATTGTAATGCGTGTGCGTTTTGTGTTTGTGGCTGTAAATCGTTTTTTTTTGGCGCAACGGGCCTCTGCTCAAGTATTGGCTGCTTTGATACCGCTTGGTTGGTTTTCTTCCGATGCTACTAGCTTCACGTTCCATCGTCTTGGCTTTTTCAAATTGAAAAATAATGTTGTAAAATTGTTTAATTATTGGAAATGAGTTAGAGCATTGTTTACCCTTGCGATACACTATTAAATGTATTGCAATAGGGTACTAGACTTTGTTTTACCGTAAATTTTTTTTCTTTTATAGGATGACTTTGGTGGAATTGGTCAATCAATTTGGTCAACCAATGAACATGTTTTCAGCCTGTTTGCTTTGTTAAAATTACAGTTTTTTCTGTATGTCAAAACTTCAATTTTTTTTTATTCGGCTTTAAAACTTTCAATTTTTGTTATATCGGCTCATTGGTCTGTGATTGCATCTTTTGATGGGTGGACAAAAATTGTAATGCGTGTGCGTTTTGTGTTTGTGGCTGTAAATCGTTTTTTTTTGGCGCAACGGGCGTCTGCTCAAGTATTGTTGGCTTTGATACCTCCTGATAACTTTTCTTCCGATGCTACCTTCAGTTCCAATTGTCTTGTTTTTTTTCAAAATGAATTTTGTTCAATACAAATCGAGACATTACAAAAGTTTTGATAGTTATAATCGATTGGCCATTTTTCCATTTAACGGCTTTCGTCTTATTTTTCGTCGGCTAGTTTGCCTTGTCACATTTGTGTTTCATCGCAAGTGGCGCGAAGCTCGCTTTGCTGCTGTGTAGAGTGTTCTGTAGTGGTGCCGTACGGCAATCCTTTTATCAGGAATTTGAAATTTTTGCCACCTTAAGTTAATTTATCATATGTTTGGTACTATTAACAGTTGATGAGCGTAGTTCAGATTCTTATATAGGTTGTGATGATTTTTTTCAGGAAAAGTCTTTAAATTTGTTCAGGCTCATAAATACTTTTTGCGGTTTGAAGTTTGATTTTTTTTAAAGTTCAGTTGATTTCCTTTTTTAAAAGGATGGTAAAATCCACTATTAAACAGCAAAGGTGTCAAGGTCACAGAAAACGTGATCTACTTCTAGTTTCGAAAATGGAATTTAATTATTGAATATCCCAGCTTAGTACAAATTTAACCTATTGATCCAGTTTTTTCAAACTGAGTTCATTTAATCAAAAAAGACAATCCTGAATTCTTCTAGAAACTCAAAGAGTTTCAAGGACATCTATTTTTATACTTAAAATTCGAAAATTGAGAAATTTCAAAAATAACTCCATTTTTTTCTGTTTTCTTGCGTTCATTGACTCGGTTGCAAGTGTCTGTTAGATATGTTTTGAAGGCGTGCTTATTTGGACGAATAATAAAAATTCCTATCTAAGAGCGCTGCCAGCGTTATCCCATTTGTTGTACTGCCGGGCACTCATGGAGCAGTTTTTGAGAAAACATTTTGTTCATCAATGTTTATCCACCACTCTGAACCATGAAAATAGTCCAAATTCAAAAAAAAATGTTTATGCTTTAATTAACCGTGGTGAGAAAATTTTGTGTTGCTTGACCAGCAACCGACTGCTCATGCATCTTTTGGAAATGTAAAAAAAGCGAGGAATCCAAAAATAACAAAAATTTTTTCCGGGAAACCATGGCAAATAAAATTAAACTGGGTTAGTTGGTCGCACCCTTTCAGCCTCTAAACAAGCTATTGTTCCTGCCCTTCAAAAGTGTTTTTATTTGTTTACATTGGATTAATTTTTATCATAAGAACATGCGTCGCATTTAGCAAAACAACTGAATCCACTTTTTCGTTTGTGAAAAATAAACCTTTTTTTTTGTAATTTGGCCTGTAAGCGCTAGAAATTCTGATCTAATCATTTTTCTTGTGAATAGACTTAAAATATGAATACATTTTCTGGGCAAGCGAGTAGACCCAAATTGACTGCAAAAAACTCGTTGTCGTTGTTGTTGTTATTTGCCCATAGAGAGCGCTTCAAGTGTGCTAGGCCAGAGCTTCAGAAACTTATGCCGGCCAGAGCCACTGGTCTATCAGTGCATGCTCAGTCTGGTTTTTGGGGCAGTTTAAAAAAAGAAGAGTTGTGTCGAGAGCAGAACAGTGAGGACAGTTCGTGTGGACATTGAGGCCAATTTTATTGCGGTAAGTATTTGAAAACGGGATGTATTCAGATCTTAGCTGCCCTTACGTGCTGTGTAAAAAAATATCGTACCCGGAGTTGGCAAAAAAGCTGGTACAATTTTTCTTTAGTTTTCACAAATGAAAAGCAATTTAATGATCCATGTCTGTCAAAAGCGAAAATAATGAACCATGGAAAAAATGAATAGCTGCTTGCACTGTATGTTCAACATTTCTTTTGACTATCTCAATATCTTAAAATCGCCTGTGAATGCTTTGTCGTTTGCTTGCGTGGAAGTATGAAAATATGAACGGTTCATATAGCTTCATAAAAGCTATTTTCAATCCGTTGTAGCTTTTCACTGAGTTACCCTTCGTGAACCGTGTTCAACCTTAGCGCATTTAGAAACAAACCGTTTTTCCAACATATTATTCCCAGCACAGTAATCTATGCATGCAAAGTTAGTGTGGATGCCTTCAGTTTGTTATATTCCAAAATATTACTTGCAAAATATTGTTGACTTGTATTTGGTGCCACTTTTGCTGAATCGATTGGCAATTTATTAGCATGTGTTGCTGCTTTGTTCGTGACTAGTGTTTATCGGTAGTTAAGCGTGCGTGGCTGAGTTGTTATTGCGTGAGGCTCGAAATCTCCTGATTGCAATAGGTCGCAGATCTAATCCTAGACCTAGCCGAATTTTTGCTAATTCGAGGCTTATTTCTTTTGTCTTATTGCCCTTTCTAGAGCTGCTTCTTGTCGTGTTCTCGCTTATATTTGCGAAGCGAAGCTTCGCCTTTTTGATTTTTATCAGCTTAGTTCCCGCAGGCGCAGCCCTGTTTTTTTTTAAGCTATTTTAGGCTATTTTAGCTTTTAGTCGGCGTAGTTTTTCGGATTTTGGATTTTTCTTTTCATTTGATTTTAATCATATTCAATCACTTTTGTGTCGCAGGTTTTTAAAATTCTATTTGTTTTAAGTCGTTTAGATTGAACAATTTTGCTCAGATTCCTTTGAAGTGAAGTTGCGAAATTTTTTTTCTTCAAATTTCAGAAAAACGTTTTTTTTTAGAAAAGTTTCTTTTTGTAATTTCAGCTACAACGGAAAGGGCTAGACTATCTTTTGCCGATGAAACCCAACGTATATATATTACGTACGGCGGTAGGTTTTTTACAGCAATTAATCATCCACTACTAATTAATTACTTAATATATTTAATGAGCGTTTTTTGTGTACAATTGTTGTCAAAAAATTTATCTGACTATGATGTATTCCTTGCACAGCCATCGGCTGTGACTGTTTGATATAATCGGTTCTATCGCAGTCTCTTTAGCTATTTTTCTTCAATTTCTGAACTCTAAAGCGGCAAGTTATGCTTTCTGATAGCAAGCCCAAAAATTGATTAAAAATGGAACATGACGTTGAATTTCAAAATGTGAAAGAATCGGTTTCCTCCAATTCCGTCGGTTTAATCAAAACAATTGGTTTTTAACTGTAAAAGAACTAAGTAATTTTCACTTCTACAGAGCTGATTTAAGTTATCTGGACAAAGCGAATAAAACTTGAAACTTAAAACGCGTTTTTTTTTCAGATTTTTTACTGCTTGACTTCTGTTTTTTTCTTCAAGTTCATTTCATTTGTTATGGTTAAAAGGAGAGCAAACTCTGCTATCGAACAGCAAAAATTTAAAGGCCACGAAAATGCAAAAATTTAAAAGTCACAGCAAAAATTAAAAGGTCAAAAAATTTTAAAGGCTACGACGACTTCTAAGTTAGAAATTGGATTTTAACTTTCAGGTTTGGCAGCGGAATTAAAAAAAGCCATTGATGCAGTTTTTTTAAATGGGAAAACTAAAAAAAAATTGCCAATCATAAACAGTATTTTTTTGTTCAAAGAGCTTCAACGTAGTACATATATTTTTTCGAATATATAAGTTGTTCAAAAATTTCCCATTTCATTTTTTGGTTTGCTTGTTCTTTTACACTATTCCAATTGTCTGTTGATTTTGTTTTTGCTAGCCATATCTAGTTTTTGGGCTGGACACGAGTACGAAAATCACTTTACTACGTTACTACGGTAGAAACACAATATTCAGAACAGATTTCTTGAAGCATAATTATGTTGGCTTGGTCCAAAAATTCAATCACATCCAAAGTTTTGCTGAAATAATGCAACTAGGTTGATTCTAAGCTTGAGTTTGATTTTTTTTATATTCGATCCTACTCGACCTTTTTGTTCCTAAAATTGCCAATTTGGACAATACGGGATAATTTACGCTCGATATTTTTCGTCCTATTAAAGCCTGAACGGCGAAAAAAGTCATTCGATTTTGATTTGAAGCAAGCCGCCATTTGTTGGTCTTATTGATACTTCACTGAACGCAACTTTGTCACTTTGTATTCAAAATAGGGACCGGAAGGACAATTTAAAAACAACGTTTTCTCATTTTTTCCCGAACATTTTGATGTATTTTCTTTAATCAAAAACTTTTTCATCGGGGGATTAAAAGGCAGTCTGAATATTAAAGGCTCGGCCCTGCTAGGAGCACTCTTGTTGTTCCGACTTTTGAAAATGGGGAGGAATTTTGTAGGCTGTTGTGTTTTTGTTTTCCACGCGAAATCAGGTACCACAAATAATCATCGGACTGGTTATTATTGGTTAAGCTCTTGAAAACGTAATTCGAATCACATTAAAAAATTTCAAATAATGTTTCCCGTGTCGAGAAAAACCCGTTTGGACTTTTTTATTTTTCTTCTTATTTTGAGCGAATAAAACGAGCGAGCAGTCTTCTTTTAACTGCTTAAAAGCTTACAATAGCTGAATTTAAAACGTAAAAACTTGAAAAAAAATTTTTTGCTTATTTTACTGTGACTGGAGAATATACTTAGTCTCCAGTTTTTTGTTCCGCTCGTTTAATCACACCACGCCGAAAAAAACGGCAATAATTTGAAAAAGCGTATTTTTATAAGACTATGGTCGAAAAGTTCTGTGCCATTTGCACAGTAACCGGCTATCTTTGTTTGGATTTGCACACACTGGTTCTCTGTTCACACGGAATTTAAAGTCGGACAACTTTGAACATTTTGCTATATTTGGAATGTGGATTAAAAAAAACAACTTTAGATTGATTAAGACCAGGATGTAGCTTTCTTGTCGTTTAACAGATCCGAAAGCCCCACAAAAACTAGCTTGATAGCCTTTGATACGTTTCAGTCATTTGTTATTGGATTTCGCATGCAAAGGTTGAAGCGGATTCCACTCAAGAAGTAATGTAATTCTATTAAGCATGATTTAAGTCTTCTATTCTAAAGCATTTTCAATTACACAATTGTTACGCATAATTTTTGAATTATTCAATGTTTATAAGTGAAAGATTGATCTGTCGGTTTTAATATGCTTTTAAAAAATTGTTTTTGATGAATTGTTTCGTAAGTATCAAATGAAAAAAAAAACGATTTTTGTCAAAATGACTTCCGCTCTTTTAATTTTTTTCCGTTGAAGTCAAAAATGAAGACCAGTTTCTCTCTACTCTGGTGTCGATTTTTTTGGTGAGCAGAATCGCGACTAATTGAAATTTAATATGATAATCATTAACCATTTGGCTCCAACGAAATTTTTATGAGTTGCTTATAAAATCGGGTGGAAACAAAAACACCCTGCGTCATAGCTTCTTCCAGTCATGACGCAATTGGAACAACGACAAAACATGGTCAACAGACAGTTGGAAAAGAGTCAATTATTACACCGAAGACTTTAGTCAAGGTGTTATGGTATCGTGTAATTTAATGTTGTCTGTTGTCAAGTGTCGACAAATAACGTCCACAGTTATCAATTATCATGTGGGCTGGACTATATCGCGCTATGTCACGTGATTGCGTATGTTTGTTTCTTTATTTGTTCATCTTTATTTATTTAATTATCTGTTCTTCTATTTATTTAATTATGTTTAGTTTGCTTATATTTATTTATAATTTATGTATGTACATATTTATTTTTGTTTATTTTTATCACGTGTTTTGTTTATTTATTTAATTATTCTTTCTTTCATTTAGTTTTGCTTTTATTATTTCTGCGTGTGTATTTATTTAATTTATTTATTTTCATTTATTTATATTATGGGTCTGTTTGTTTGGTTATTTGTTCATATATATTTTTTCATGTCTATTTAATTATTTGTACATTTCACTTTTGCTTTTATTTATTTATTTATTTATTTATTTATGTATTTATTTATGTATTTATTTATTTATTTATGTATTGATTTATTTTTTTATTGCTTATTTATTTATCAGGTGTGTTTTGTTTATTTGTTGATATTTATTTCTATATTTGTTTAATTATTCTTTCTTTCATTTAGTTTTGCTTTTATTATTTATGTATGTGTATTTATTTCATTTATTTATTTTCATTTATTCATATAATGGGTCTGTTTGTTTGGTTATTTGTTCATATATATTTTTTCATGTCTATTTAATTATTTGTACATTTCACTTTTGCTTTTATTTATTTATATATTTATTTATTTATGTATTCATTTATGTATTTATTTATTTATTTATGTATTGATTTATTTTTTTATTGCTTATTTATTTATCAGGTGTGTTTTGTTTATTTGTTGATATTTATTTCTATATTTATTTAATTATTCTTTCTTTCATTTAGTTTTGCTTTTATTATTTATGTATGTGTATTCATGATCTTTGCCAATATAGCAAAATTTTGGTGTATACATGTGTTCGTACGATTTTTAGCTCACGAACTGTTATTTCAGGCTCTTTGTCAATATAGTAAAATTTTGGTGTATACATGTGTTAGTACGATTTTTAGTTCTAGAAGTGTTATTTTATGATCTTCGTTGATATATCAAAAATTTAACCTATACATGTGTTAGTACGATTTTTAGTTCTAGAACTGTTATTTCAGGCTCTTTCTCGATATAGCAAAATTTTGGTGTATACATGTATTAGTACGATTTTTTGTTCTAGAACTGTTATTCTTCAATTATTAGTTGTTCAAGTTGTTTGGTTTTTGCTTCAGTTTCTATGCCTTCGGTGTATTGCGCGTAGCGCCTATGTTCGCAAATTGGAAAAGAGTCAATGAACGCAAGAATCTACTCGAAACTAGAAGTCAATGACGTTTATTGCGATCACGTTTATTGAATCCTAATAGTGATGTTTGCTTTTCTTTCAACAAAGGAAATGAAGTGAAGTTAACTAGAAATCAGAAGTCAAACCGCGAAAAAATAAATTTGAGCCTGTAAAAATGAAAAAAAAAATGACCACCTATATAAGAGTCTGAACTACGTTCATCGACTTTTAAACACTATAACGGAACAACAAAAATGAAATAGATTGTGGTCGGAACAACGAAAATCCGACTTCAAGTCATGATCGGAACAACAGCAATAGAAATTAGGAAAATGATTTTTCCTGATACTACTGAAAATATGGAAGAAAAATGGGATCTTGTTAACTATCCCCCCCCCCCCCCATTTCGATTTTCAGAAATTCAATTTTGGCGGCCACGTTTTCAATAGCTTAAAACAATTTTCAGAAAATATATTTATATTCAAAAGTTTTTAAGTGGGTATTATATAAATAGTGTATAATACCGTGTCTGTACAAAACAGTCCCATACAAAACAATCCAATGCAAAACAGTCCGGAAAAGTATGAAAATGAACGAAAAAACAGTCCGATACAAAACAATCCGAAAACACGAACGCGCGAAAACGAAAACCCACTTAATTGTTGACATTTTTGAAATGCATATTTTATACAGAAATGGTTGTCAAAAATAATACATGCATAGGGGGGGGGGATAGTTAACAAGGTCCAAAGGGGGGGGGAATGGTTAACAAGATCCGAAAAATGACTTGCTCGAATAAATAGTAGACAGGGAAAGGCTAAAAAGAATGTGAGTTCATTGTAGTTGAGCATGAAAAACTTTTAGACTTTCGTCCAAAAGTAACTCTAACAACGTGGATAAAAATTAATCCAAAACTAGGCTGTTGAAAACTATGATGCATAGCTATTTCTTTTAAAATAATGAATGGGTTTAATTTGCTATTTGGGATCAGCCTTGACCTCTCTTCTGTCCATTAAAACCTACCAGCCAAACTTCCTAATTAATTTTTGGATCAACTCTTCATTGAGAGCCGTTTTCTTAATCGAATATGACCATCTGCTGCGGATAAATCAATTATTTTCCAATAACTAAATTTTTCTCAATTTGTAGCCTGAGCTCATGAAACTCTCAAGTGCGAAACTAAATTTATACCAGAGAGTCGTTAGATAGTTTTGTAATTTACATATATTACATTTGATATGGTACCTTACATACAATTTACAATTTGGATTATTTGAATTACACAAGATTAAACTCGACTTGAAATATAAATAGGAAACAATCAAAAATATTTTTCTCATGGACAACATCAGTTTATGAACGTGTTTGGGGCGAAACTTGAGCATTTCCGAGCTGAGTTCGAAGACTTTTCTATTTTACAACGCTTGCCATTTGCCCTTTAGTTTCCCAGCAGAAAGAGGAGTGATTGATTCTGATGTCTGATTAGGCTGCTGATTGATACCATTTGATACTGGAAGTGGAACCGGGGACTTTGCGATTCGAGGTGAAATCAGTTTCGGCCTCTGATTCATTTTTGACGCCGTTGTCATCTGTGAAATATTATGTGACTGATTTTGGCCATTCGAAGTTGTTCCGGCGCCACTTGAAGTCGTTACGTTGCCACTGCTGTTTAGACTTGTTCGCTCTGAGTCGAAACCTCCGCTAGCTGATGACACATACGCCGGGTTGCTTAGAGGTCTCGCCTGAACGACAGCTCTGGGAGCCGATGTTGTGGGAATATTCTGAGTCGAGTTACTTTTACCTTTATTCAGAAATCTTTTCTCGAGTAAATTCAGTGCTGAAGTCCTTTTCGGTGCAACTTTTTCCCCGCTTGAGTTGACCGCAGACTCGGCTGCTTTCATAGCTTTTTTCTCGGCTTTTGAAAATTGCTTCGGTTTTTCATCTTGCGCGCGAAGTTTCTGCAGTGATAGTTCATACAGGAACTTAAACTGGTCTCTCTCGCAGACAATTTCGGATATTTTGTTTTCGGCTGTTTGTAATTTCTGCTCAAGTGCTTGGAACTGACCAAGCATGCTTTGATATTGTGAAGTGTTTTCAAGCTTATTTTGCTTTTGTAGGCTTTCAATCTCATTTCGTAGACTCTCAATAGTCACTTTGCCATGGTATATTTGCATCTCCTGTGATTCCATCCTAGTTGTGAGAAATTTAAGGTTCTCTGCTAACGCTTCCGCCCTTGCTTCGGCTTCCATTCGTTCACTTTCAAGCTGTTGCAGCTTAGTCATCATGCGATTTTGATCCATCTCTATCTGATTTTTCTGTTGTTCGGCCAATAAATTGTTGATTTCACGCTCAAAGTGTTTCTTGCCATCTAAAGCTTCCTTCAACTCTTGTTTCAAATTTACCAAATTCCTCCGGAAGTTTTTCTCGTTATCTGTCATTTGAGTTTCAACTCGTTTCAGATTTTGTTCCAGTGTTTGACACTTTTGTTCAAAATGGTCACGTTCAACTACTTTTTCACGCGTATTTTCAATAACGTTATTCGCCTTTTGCACAATTTGTTGAAGATTTTCATTTTTCATCCTTAATTGCGTGTTTTCGTCCATAATTGTTGCTAGTTTGTTTTTCAGTTTGGAAACTTTGTTCTTGTAATCTTGTATTTGTTCAGCAGACCTCGCAATTTTTTCAGCATCTGTAGACTCGGAAACCTCGTTGCTCCTTTCGTTCATACTTTCAACTGCCTGTCTCAGTTTCTGTTGGTCATTATAAGCTTGATCAAGAGCTTTGAACAACACTTTTACTTGTTCTTTCTCCAAAACTGATACGTCTTTTGTTGACATAAATTTGCGCAGAAACTCTAAAACATGCGAAGGCGCCTCCGATTCTGGTAAATCATTCGGCGATGCCCTTTGATTTCCTCTTCCACTGTTCGGGTTTTTGGGTCTAACCGGAGAAGGAGTTGACTGATTAATTTGCTCCGAGTTGTAATATTCACCCGAGCTGGCTTGGCTCTCCGTATTTTGCTCTACAGGACTTTGAGAGGCGGCGTCAATGCTGTTTTCAACTCTCAAACTTCGATCTTGAATTGGTAATGAAGCTGTACTAGTATGACTCAGCATTATGATCTTAGACATCATATCACGATTTTGACTCCAAGTTTGCTTCAGTTCTTGTTTCAATTGACGCATTGCGATCCGGCCACGCAGTTTCATTTCATTCAGTCGTTTAGTTTTCACGTCGTCGTCAATTCTTCCGTTCTGATTGGCTGAACCATCTTGTGGTGTTTCGATCATTTGATTCTGGACGTCCTGAATGTGCTTGAAAAACATTCTAGAAAGTTCCTCGACTTCGGTCATGCATTTCAGTTCAGTTTTAGAAATCTCGGCAGCGATAAGATTCTTTTCACGTGTCGCATCCTGTCGAGCCTGTTCTGAGAACTCGATCCGCTCTGTTGCATAATCAAGCATCTCACGTAATGCAACTATGTCTTCATCTTGCAATGCATCATTTCTGACATTACGTAATACCGAGCCGATTCTTGCGTAACCACTTGCATTGCTGACGTCATATTCCATGAATGTACTTGGCTCGTCGTTCTCGGGCACAGGACTGTTACGAACGTTGATGGCTGAACCAGTTATGGTACTCGCTTGGTTGTGTACCGCGTGATTTCGATTGTCTGGTTTTGGAGTACTTCGGTCGTATCCAAATCGAGCTTGCGAGTTTGACTGACTTGAGTTTGAATTAGATGATGCACTACTTAGAGGAGTTATGTGAACAGGTGTCGAGGATCCAGACTTAGACATTCTGTTTGAGCTTTCGGTTTTCTTGGAATTTTGCTTCGTGTCTTCATTTGGATTCGGGCTGATAGATTGAGATGTTGGTGATACGACTTGTCTGATTGGACTTGGCGGGGGTTTTGATTTTAGAGGTCTGTTGCTTTGATGGTGCTGATGTGAATGAGTATGAAGGTAGTGGGGGTTAGTCTGCTGTCGAGGACTTGCAACGTTTGCATTTTCTTTATCGACGACTTGATTTGGAGCCGCGTTTGCTGTTTTATGTGGACAAGCTCCGTTACTCACGCCGGAGTAACTGGAAGCCGCTGCAATATGAGGCGCTTTTTCTTGTTTTGTTTGAATCTTCTGAGCTGAAGATGAGCGTTTTGGTGATAAGATATTGTTATTGGGGTTGGAATAATTATTATTTGATTGGGATAATTTAATATCAGTGCTTGAAGCTCGATGCGGCGAGGCGTCAGGGGCTGTTTTCGGCTGTTCCTTGAACGCAGCATGTGGTCGCAATCTGCTGTATGCTCCATCATTATTTATTTCGGTTGTGGCTGTGACGTCGAGTTTCGATATCGGCGCTTGCAATGCAGAATTTGCTCTCCTGTGGGGTTTCACAGCCGGTGGGGCGTTAGTTGGAGTTTCCCCTCGGGAGTATGGGTTGCGGGGTGGGGGAGGGGGTTTGTCGGTTTCACTCGTGTCTGCCAGGTTGCTCATAGAGGGGAATTTGGTTTTTGCCGACGATTGGGGTACTCTGGTTATTTTGGCTTTAGGCTCGTCATCTTGACTGGCCTCGCCAGAAGTAGTAGATGCTAAAATAGATCAGCCATGACAATTTTAGAGCTTTTACCAAAAAATTTTGAATTAAACAGATTTTAAAACAAGAGATTTTAAGAAAGTTGAAATTTTTAATCGCATTAGGAAGAAATCGCTGTAATTATTTTGGGAGATATTTGCTGACCACGTAAACGCGTTATTTGCTGCCCGCGTCTCAACGTATAATGAAAAATTGGAAGAAAAATCAGATGCCCACAGTGGTTTGTTTAATATTTTTTATAGTTGGCTATTGGGCATGATAGTTTTGCAATATTGGGCCAAAGTAATACGCACCTGCGCCCTCCTCTGAAGAGTACTCTCTGAATCTGTAAGGGGGCCCGGGGAAATTTTCCTGGTGGAGAAAGGGCAGGATGTCCTTGAAGGGGGGCCTATGCTGAGGTGATTCCACTAGACAAGAGGCGATCAGGTGTCTCGCTCTGCTGATAATGCTGATTGGCAGTCGGGTACCCCAATCCGCATTCAGAATCTTAACAAATCATTTCTGCGTGAATCTATGCTCAAAATGGAGAAAAAATGTCATCCCAGGTCATATGAACTCATTTTGAAAAGAGAGCTCAATTCTACAAGCAAACTGTAGCATCATTAATCTCTTTTAGAGATAGTTTTGCCTGCAAATGTTTTTAGCATGACCTCTTGCTACCCAAGAGTTTCGGACCTATTTTGAAATCTACTTTTTGTGTTTTTGAATCTCCTGCAAATATATTTGCTCGACTTTCAAGTTGTTTTGCAAGGGTTAGTAAAATCTAAACGAATGGCGGCGTGAATGTTGTAGTTTCTTTGTAGCTTACCCTGTCGATATCGAATGACTCATCCTGGCCCCTTTTGAACACAGTCCATAGAAGGAAGCCGAAGGACCACACGTCACTCCTGCATGAGAACTGGTTCTGGTAGAATTCGGGTGGGGGCGTCTTCACTTTGTAGATGTATTCGGGGATCATAAGGGACTCGTAGTCTCCCTCGTAGCGAGACAGATGGAACCCAGTTAGTTTCACCCGACACACTTCGTCTATCACGCAGTTCTCCGCTGCCTGTAAAAGATAAATTCAGCTTTTAGAAGTACAAATGATAGAAGTTAATGTTTTTTTCTTGCCGCGTATGTCATTAACGGAACAGAATGAACAGCAATTTTATATCCTTTTGAAAAATGTGTTTTTTATTCAAAATGTGTATTTGAAAATTGCTAGCTTCTTAGTTTAGAGATACTTGATGTCCGTAGGATATCCGTAGATACTTGGCGTAGAATTTCCAATTAAAAGCTGGGATGGGGGGTTCTGGTCTACTACGGGGCGTTTTCAATTCGATTACTGTTAATTCAGCTTGGGTTTAGCAATAGCTCTCCTTATATAGAATTGCTTCAATCACTAAAAATACTTCGCTGTGTTCTATCAACTTACCAATTCATTGTGCACAATTCTCTTACTCTCCAGGTACTCCATGGCCTTGCATATATCCCTGGATATCCTCAAAAGGTCATTTGGTCTCAGTAGGAGCGACATAGTGTTACGATGCAGGTACTCTATCAGAGCCCCTTCTCCCAGGGACTCGCTCACCAGGAAACACTTGGGAGATGTTTCCAGAGAACAGCCGAGAAGGGCTGCTATGTTTTCGTGTTTAACAGCCCTGAAAGAGATGATTATGTGAAAATATTTGGCGTTTCGAGTCTTTTTTACGCAAATGTAGCTTAATGCAAAATCGGTGTCGAAAATGAACGATCCATTGCGCGATTGAATTAGCAAAACTAGGCGCATACCTTTTGCTGACATCATGCTTAAATGAGTGAAAAGGTTTTCCGTGAGGTGACTTTTCGTAACAGGCAAGAAACAGAAGCAAAAATTCAACGGCAAACGCTGTTTCTCGCGCACTATATGGAGGCGTCCTCTATGATAGAGACCGAATGATGGAAACTAGTATGAGCCAATCAGAATTGAGCGTTCAAAAATCTCACTGAAATCGCAAAAATTTTAAAGTTAGATCTCAAACGCATATAAAATAAATTAATTCTTAAAGAACAACGGTTTTAAAAAAATGAAAAACAAAACAAGAAATTTAATTGATATCATGAATTGAGCCAAAAAAACTTGACTGTACAGCTAAAGTTTGTTTTCTGCTAAACTTGACCTCGGTTTTGTTTATAAACCATTAAGTGAATCGAAACGTCTAGCAATTCTGATTGGTTGGAAACTTTCAATCATCCGAAACCTCCATCATGAGAATAACTTCGTATTATACAGTGCTGATTTGACAAAACAAACAAAATTGGAAACGCATTTTTTTCAAATTGGGTTTAGATCAGAAACGAGATAAGACAGCAAAATTCCAAAATAAATAATTATTATTTAATAATTTCTTCCTTGTCTCGATTCTGATTGGTTAAAGCAGTATTTGTCTGCTTACTGTCGAGTAGAAATACGCGGTTGTCTAAATACTGCTACGTAACCCAATTTATTTTGCAAAATTCGAGCCAAATTTTCACCTCAAAAAAGAATCATTTTGGCATTTCTTAGTGAATCAAAAGTAAACCTAAAATTATCAAGTTAATTGATAATAAAATTATATCAAAAGAAGCCTCTTACACAGCCGAACAAAATTTTAAACCAAAAAAATCTCCGAAATTTTGTGCAAAACCTGTAAAAAAAGTTTTAAACAAAAATTTTTAGGTTTAAATAGTAGAAATAATAATTTTGGCTGCCATCTAAAACTTTGTTGGACTGTGTACGAAGCTTCTTTTGATATTATTTTTTAATCAACTACCATAATTTTAGGATTAATTTTGATTAACTAAGAAAAGCTCAATTGACCAAATTTTGGGGTGAAACTTTGGTCCCGATTTTCGCAAATTTTTTTTTTGTCTAATATGAACCCTATTTGAGAAAAACGCGCACGTTTAAAATTTCCAATGTCGTTCGTTTTTATATCAGCGCTCTATTAGTGGTGCCCAATGGTCCGAGTTGTCGCTTGATATGAATGTGAGTATTTTTAGTTATTCCGCCAAATTTAACTAAAATTAAAACTTACAAAACAGAAATATAAGTGCTTGAATATGATAGGTTGAAATTAAATGCTTTGCTAATACATAATTTGAAAAAGTAGATCAGTTAGTAATTGATATGCTGTTTGACTATTTAGGGCAGAATTAGTAACAAGAATGATCCTGACCTTGATTATGCGAAGAAAAAGTAATTAATTTGCTTTAAATGTGAATGAACTTATAGAATGTTCCATTTTGTTTAAAAAAATCCCTCAAGTTTCAGTATTTGCCGTAATCAATGAGAAAATTATCGATACTTGAATAAGAAGTGGTTATTTTTCTGTAATATTAAGTCTACAAGTCTACTGGTATCAAGGTGAAAACATGAAAGCTCCTGACCCATAAGGTGCCCTGGCTCTTCTCTGTTATATGGCCCAAAATCTAATCTCGGATCAATTGAGCAATCTCCCCCCCGTAATGACCAATTGAGCTATCTCCCCCCAGCAAAAACGGTAAAACGCTACAAAACGACGTCAGCAAACGCAAATACATGGTTAATGTGTTCGCAGCACGCAATCAATTGACCGAGTGAAGTTTATTTTATATAAGTTTCGAGAAAAAAGTTGAAAAAGAAAAAAAATCGATTTTTTCTTCAAATTTTTTGTTGGAAATTTTTGTTTGTACGACCATGGCCTCATCGAGCAAAGCGACTTACCAGGTTTTGTGCCCTAGCCTTATATCTGAATATCAAAAATTGTTCTCCGCAGCACATTAAAATTGCTTTTTTTTTCCATTTAGGACAAAAAAGGCCCTTTATGCGACCCAAGTCGCCTTAGTTTTATTGATTCTTTTTTCACTCTGAATTTAAATTTTGAGCTTTGATATTGTAAACTTATGCTTTCCACTATCGTTGAAGAAACTGATTCGTGATTTCATATCATTCAAACAATTTTGAAGTGGCTATAAACATGTCTCAAGTACGTATTGAGCTATCTCCCCCCCACGCGAGAATGGGGGGGGGGGGATTGCTTAATTGATCCCTAATCTCAATATCAACTTGAAAGTTGGATCATATTGCTCAACTCTGATTGGTTGAAAATAGCTTCAGAAAAAGGTCTGATATTGCAACAAAAATTGAAGCTCAATTAACAATATGATAATTTTGGCCGTAAATCAGAAAATATCTCGTGTCTCAAGATAATTAAGATGTCAAAAATCGATAATTATTGTCAATTAAAAGTTTTTTTTATGTTTAAAGTTTTCCCCACACCCATTTTGAAGGACAAACTGTTAAGTCTTACCACTACTATTGCAATATTTGAACCAAGGTGCGTGTCTCTCGTCTTTTTGGAATGAATTTTGTGCCGGAATAATATGCAGAATGCTTTACGAGTTAATTGAATGTTATAAATATCGACATTGAAAACGGATAAATACATGAGTCAGCTCTTATTTTCCCCCCAGAAAAAAGGTGTGAAATCTTGCATACGAATTATTTTCAAGATTTACATTTCGACAACTAACATGCAGTTACTTTTGTTCAATTTCTGAAGTTTAATTTGATTTAAAATGACAATTATGACTGAATATACCCATAAAAAGGCTAGTGCTGATATAAATAAATCAGATTTGTTGATAGCTGATTACTAATTTTGATCTAATTTCTGGCCTTAAAAAAAGGTTTTTAGAGATTTTGGCTGAAACAAGACAGAGTGAAACTCTTCATAAATATGGGTTCAATACGAGACCACTTTTTCCAAGATTATTGACCATTGAGCATCACAGCATCACCATTGAGAAAGGTATTTTAAGCAAAAAAGCAGTCAAGTACTTAAGTTCTCTCATTGAGCATCACAAAAACCATAGTTGTTGCAAAACATTGAAACAATTATGGTCTAAATTTTTTCCTGATCTAAAAATTCTATTATGCGTTTTCAAAGTCGCCCAGCTTATAATGGTGGAGGTATACTCACATGAGTATTTTGCTGTGTCGTGAAAAGAGTGCCTTCTGATCATCGCTCGAAGCTGAAGATGAACTGTGTTCACGACACTGTTGAACGATGACGTCACTCTTGCGCCAGTGGCCGAATCGCACATCCCAGGGCAGTCGCAGGTCAAAAGGCTGAACAATCTTCACTTCATTCAACTGCAGAGCGAACAGATCTGAACAAAACGACCAATTTACTTTGCAATGGACGATGGCAGTAGCGCACTAAGGCAAGGGGACAGTAGCGGGCTTAGATTTGGCCCCTGCCGACCCAAAGGTTCTCCCCTCTACTGTTTTGAGATGTCCATTTTGGCTGACTGGCCCCAAAAAATTTTCTAAAGGCGCCTTAGGTGCCTCTATATATTAAATTTGATGGGGGAGCGCGCGACAAAAAAAAAATTGATGGGGGAGCGCGCGACAAAAAGTGCCTTTTTTGACCTGTTTTTTTTTCTTCAAATTTTGCCTGCGGCACAGAAAATTTGGTCAAAATAGGATCTTTATAGTGTTTTAGGGGAGCTCAGAAAATCAATTTGGTTTGTCGAATTAAAAAAAAAAGGTCAATTTTTATCGATTATCCAATTACTTGTATTTTGGTGTCTTTGAAAACTGTTGCGCCAGCGCCAACCGAACAACCCTAAAAGGTGAAATAGTATCAAAGTGATAGTAGCCGTTCCAGAAAGAACAGCAGCCAGATTTTGATTGGGGTTGTTCAGTAAAGTTACTGTTTAATAAAATTCGAAGCCAAATAAGTATAAAAACGGGTGAAAATGTTGAACTTTTAGGCATCCATTTGACTCAGAGCCAAAACATCTGTCCTACTTGCTATATTTTAACCGAGGGTCGCTGTGTTAATAAATGTTTGATAGGTATTAATTTGACTTAATTCATCCAAAAATATCTCAGGCTACAAAACACTTGCTAGAACGTCAACAGTCTTGAATTGAAACAATTTAGGTATGACCTTCTCTACAAATGTCAATAATTACGGAGAGTTAGTTATGATCAAGTGACTGGATCGGTCTCTCACCATCAATGACTTGTTTGGGTGGGTACTTGTCCAGCATGATTCCAAGTGCGGGGCTCTTCTTGCAGTGGTCGACCAGTTGCTGGATACTGGCGAATAGGAGTCCCTTCCCTATCCGGTAGTAGCTCTTCCCATCCGACTCCAGAGTCTCGATATCGAAGTTCTTCACTGTGCGCATAGTGCTGAATACAAAAGATCATCAGTGTTTTTAAGTTTTGAAAAAATACTTGGAAAGGAAAAATTGATATGAATAAAGTTTGAAAGATGAAGCCTCTTTTTTGAAGCACTGCGAAGTAAGAAAACTAGACTAATCCTTTTTTAACTTGATAGAAATCTGAAAGTTTAATAAACAATTTTTTTTCTTCAAATTTCTCTTAGTTTAAATTTCTGTGTTTTGTTATTTTTACTGTGTAGAAGTGTTGAAACCGTTAAGCACCAATGGTTGCAACAGGATATTCAACAAATCACAGATTTTTTCAGTCTAAACCCAATATCCAAAAAAAACTCGAAAGATATCTTATTTCTAAAAAACTGTTTTGACTTACACGAGGAATAATTTGATGGACACTGTTCCCAACTGAGTGACCAGGAAGTGTCCCGGAGGCTGTCTCTTAAGTATGGCCTCTGCCACATTTTGGGGGAGATCCTTGAAGTACCACCCCTCCCTCCTCACATCCTCAAATCTGATTGGCTTCCCAGTGGTGCCCTGACGTCTGTTCCCTGAAGTCGTGTGCCCACTTGGAGTGGTGGAGCTGCTCCGACTGGTATTGACCTAAACAGTGATTTTTCTCTCTCTCTCTCTCTCTCTCAAAAAGATTTGTTGGAGGTTCGTATTATGTATTAGTTACAAAAATGACTTCGGTGTATTTTGAGTATTTTATGTTCATCTTGATAATTTCTTTCTAAAAATGTTATAAGATTCTAACACTTCTGGCAAAAATTTTTTGATTGGTGTCTTAAAGATACTTTACTACTCTTGGCGTTAAGAAAAGGTTATCAATAAGATAAAATTTTTTCCTGTAAAAAATAATTTAACAATCAGTTTTCATTCAATTCACTTTACCAAGTTCATTTGTTGAGCACCCTTTTTTTGGAACATTTGCGGTTTAAATGTTATTTTTTTTCTCAAAACATTCGCACTTTTTTTGGCCTGACTTAATAATTTTTTTGCCAGTCGGCAAATAAGTTAATTTTTTTTGACGTTCCAAACTTTTTTCCTGACCTTTTAACTTTCATTTTAATTGAACGGGCGGCTATCCAAGGTAGCCCATCTTCGGTTTCACTTATTTTAAACGCTAGCAGTTTTGCTTAAAGTATTTTTCTTAACATTTGAGTCGGAAGCAGAAGTTTACAATATGTTTTTCGGTTTTTCAAAAAATATATATTTTAGACTTCGATTTTTTTACCCAGTTTAATAGTCTTTCTCTTATTTGCGCAATTTTTTAAGAAAAATTTATTGGACGTTTTTACTGCATATTTGTTGCATCAAGAAGTCTAAGCATTTTGAACTTTTCAATATCTGTTTCGCAAGTGATCGTTTTTCATTAACTCAGAAGTGCCGTTAGTTGCAATTTCGTTCCGACCAGGTCACTGAAAATGACTCGAAAGAGGTGGCGTAAAATTTGTTTTTTCTAGCCAACTTGTACCCAAATAAACCATGTACAGGGTCAAGTGGGATAGCAGCATACTAAAGCACTAAAATAATTCGCATATTTTGTATTTCAAATTGAATTAGACAAAGTCTGATGAGAAGTTGGTCTCCCAAGTTTAAGTTTGCTACAACCTTCATGTTTTTTAGCTATAGTTACCCGTTGTTCTTGCATTTCTATAATTTTGAGTTTTCTCCCTGAAATCAGTTTGATCCGAAAATTTTTTGCTAACAGTACAGCAACCGGTTATTTTCGTTCTAGATTGGTATTTATGAAACAAAAAACATCGTGTCGTTTTCACCAATGAGAAAAAGACGTTTCTTCTTGCCTAATTTTACTTGATTGCTGGTAAATCAAAAAAAAAAGAACCAGCAGAAAAAATTGCATTCAATGATTTTAGAATGAAGCAGCAATTCGCAACTGAGAGATAATAAAAAAAAATTTTCAACTTTTATGTTGCGTCTAAATACTTAACAGTTTTTCAAAAAAATTAAAATCGATTTTTTTTCTCAAAGTCTGCTTTTCAAGTTATCTGGAATGTTGTAGTTTTGTACTGCAAGTGCTGCGTTATTAGGTGTAAATTTTTTAGTTTATGTGCTGCAAACTATGTTCTTATTCAAACATTTTTGGGTAACCTACACTAAAAACTTTCCAAAGGCGCTTTTGGCAGCAATTTATATCAATTTTGACCTCATAACTACTCTGGACGGGCGGGGTTAAGTGTCATACAAAACCAATAAAGTTTAGTAATGATTGGTAGATAGATAGAAAAATTTTGAAAAGGTTTTCCGTTTTTCTGTTTCCTTTTTTTCAGATTACATCTTGACAATTAACTCACACGATGTTGAATCTTCTATGTTTTCAGTGAAAAAATGAGCCATTAAGATTTTCTTTTTGTTCCGACTTTCGATACGAAGGTAACGGAATATTTGTTCTCGGGGTGGGTTTTTTTTCTTCAGACAAATTTCGACTTTTTAACTAGCCATTCTTAACTAGCCATTTTAACTAGACTTTTTAAAACATATTGCACCTGTGATCATTTTTCGTAAAGTTATGGGGGTTCAAAGATTGCCATTTTGGCCAATTTGGGACAATTAACGCGTGATATATTTCGCGCTATTAACGCGTAAGCGGAGATTTAATTCGTCTTAGAAATCGTTCCAAATTGGTTTAAAGAAGCTTATTTGCCATAATTCTTTTGTTCCAATGAGCAAAATCTATTTTTTTGTACTTTGAATGGCGTGTGGGAGGATGATTTCATAATAAAATTTCAAATGTTAGAAGAAATTTTTTTCATTACTTTTTATTACATTTAATTTTTTTTATGTTAATACTGCTTCATAAACCTTAAAAGTCAGTCGGAACATTCAGGGCTTCGCCCTGATACGAGCAGTCTTGTTTGAATTTGGACTTTCTTTTCCGCAGCCTTGCACAACTATACTTCATTCTTGAAATAAGAAGATTTGCTCTAAAATGACTTTACCGATTCTTGTGACTTATGTGCGCTCGAGGTGTGTTGTTTTTTCAGACTTTTTAACAAGACATTTTCAGCAAAAAACTGTTTTATTCCATCTGAAAAATATTTTGGTCCAATGTTGAATTTCAAAAAAATATATCTCTGACAATTTGCGCTGAAGTTATGGGGATTGAGTTTGGGACTAGTTTGATCTCTATCACTCTAACGGACAATGAACCGGCGCTTGGTTTCATCCTAATCAAGCGCAAGCCGTATTTAAATCATTCCGAATTTAATTGAGTCAAGCTATTTTTTTGTTAGAAATGCGTTATCAGATGCAAATTATGCCACTCTCAAATTTACATTAGGTTTTGAGGGGATAATATTAAGCGCTTAAAGGGATAAATTATAATAGAAAAAAGTTTCAGCTGAGCCATTTTTTACAACAGAAACTTCTTTTTCATTGATGACTGGGAGGTCAGAATTTTTGAGTTTTTGCAGTAGGAGTAGTTTTGCTTAGGTTTGCATGCTATGAAAAAAAAACTATCTACTGTCACGGCGGATAAAAAGTGCAATTTTTAGTTTTCCGGTGATTTTTCACTTTCTGCCATTTTCTCTACAACTACTAGAGATCCACAATTAAAATGTTGTGGCTCTCTTGATGAATTATGATGAATTAAATTGTATCTGGTACTATAGCCGGATAAAAAAAACTTAAAAGGTCATAGGGCGCCAGAGAGGTGTTCTTAGTGCAAAAAAAGCCTGTAAGCAGCAGAGCAGCTCAAAACATGGTTTTTAAAAGTTTTCGTTGGAAAGATAAAGATCTAAGCTAGGCCGTCAAATTGGCTTTTTCTTTCTTAATTGTGCTATGATACATCAACATTTTCTCAAATCCAGCCAAAATCTGACGCTTCGTTTTTCTGTTCCAGTTGCTTTACGTTGGAGGATGTAACTCTCAATTTTCCGAAAGATGCCTCGTAGGTATTATTCACTAAAAATTAGTTCTTTTTCAATTTTTGACGTTTAAAACTTACGGCAAATTCGGTTCTTTATTTTAATTGGAGAGAGCTCAGAGAATCAATACCACCAACATAAGAAAAAAAGATATCTCAGATGAATTTCCGAAAAACTGGACTTTCAAAAACTTCTTTGTACGCCAATGCCTATGCGTGTGATTACAGATTACCCTGCGAAGGAAAAATATTCGCTAAAAAGTGGATTTGATTGTTTTCAGACAATCGCCTTAAAAAAAGTTAGACAAAATTTTTTCTGCACTGTCGTCTTTCGCCATAATTCTCAACTAAAATTTGTATGCATACCTTTTCTGGCATCTCCACGTAATTATTCGTCGCGGCTGCTAATCGTGTATTTTGAGACAATTTTCTGCTTTAAAATTAGTCAGCAAAACCCATATTCTCTCCGTCTATTTGCTGTGTTGTTACTCGATAGATGATGTCTCAAGTTATAAATAAGAGCTTAACCTAGTCGATATGTATTTTTCACCCAAAGCAGATAAGAAAAATTTCCTCAAAAATGATGATTCAATTTTAATTTTTTAAAATTTAGAAAAATTTTTTTTGTTCAAATAATGGAGTCACGAGATATATAATCAACAATGTATAAAAACAAACAGCTGGTGTTTGAAACTCTGTTGAAAATATCAAGTTAAAAATTATGTTTGAAAAACAAGAACAGTCAGAACCAGTAGAATATTGTTTGCATGCATTTTGGTTTTGTTAAAATACGTGCGTAGATATGTATCATTTTTACTTATAAACTTTATTTTTTGGTAAAAATTTAGCATTCAAATAGACTATTTTTGTTTTATGACCTCATGTAGAGTTAGAGTACGCCTGCCAAATTCGTAAATTTTCTTCATGCTTGTCAAGAAAACAATGATTGATAAAAAAGAATAAATTGCAACCATAAAAGATGGTTACTTGAGTACTGGTTGATTTTCAATAAACGTTTGTAAAAATCTGGAACATCGTTTCGGCAAATCATCATGCCAGATTTACATGGCCAGACGAGACTTTACAAACGTGAAGTCGCTGTCCTTACTAAAATGGATGCTGTTTTCAAAAGCACTGTACTCAGTAGATTTTTAAAGACAAACTCCATTGCATACCTCGACATATGTGCAAACGAGTTTTTTCGAAAGGCCAGGAACTTATTTCAAAAATTATTCCCACTTTTCAAAAAAAGTTTCAAAAGTTTTTCCAAGAGCTGTGTCGGGAAAAAAATTGATTGACTTTCGTTTTAAAACAAGACTGCACATATCAGGGCGAAGCCCTGAATGTTCTGACTGCCTTTTAAGGTTTATTGAGCAGCAGTAATAGATAAAAAAAAATTAAATGAAATAAAATAAAATGAATTAGTGGCATTTTTGCTTCGGTTACTCCTATTTGATTAACTTGTTAAGTCAATTTTCTAGTTTTCTGGAAGTCTTAAAAACCACAATCCTTGGATTTTTAGCTGTTTCAAATTACTTAAGTAGAGTTGGGCGTTTTCGTATTGCAGCTGATAGAACTACACCAATGCGTTGGTTTTTTGGCTAGGAAAATTTGGAAAGTTAAGATAAGTGGAGAATCTAGCTATATTTTGGTTTATAATAGCTAAATTTTGTTCAAACTAGCACTAAATTATAATTTTACCTCAACGGATTTTGTGTTTTTGATCATGACATGTATGACTAATTTTGTTGTTTTTATCATTAATATTCATAATCCAGTTTTCTTTTTTCATTTTCAAGTCTGCTTAAAGTTTGTTTCACGTAAAATATGAATCGATAGTGCGATTGAACTATTATTATTACTGGATTGAGTCTCTAAAAATGGCTGATTTGTGTGTCAATTTTTATACATTAAATCTTTTTTGTGTCCTTTTTCAAAAGTTAACTGATTGATTTTGGAATGATAAAAAACATTCGCTAATAAGCATAGAATCAGCATGCTCACTGACCCAAGATTATGCAGATTATGAGGTTAAAGCTAAATAAAAACAAAAAGTATTCCATTCTTTGCATACGGCTAGTCAAAATGACTAGTTAAAAATCAAACTTTCTCTAGTTTATACTGCGAGACAACGATACATGACCCACAAAATTTCGAGCGACAATGAACAAAACCAAAGATGCTCAAGATATTCAGAGCTAAAGGTTAATTAAATATGATTACGCATTATACAACTTGAAATATATAAAAGCATTTCCAACATTTGTCGGTTTTCCGTTTTTGTTTCAATTTTTGAAGAGCGACAAAAGTTTTGTGATCAGTTTTTTGTAAAGACGGTTTTTTGTAAAGACAAGTTTCGACTTTATAATTAGCCAATTTGACAAAAACTTTCGATATCAATAGAAAGATATTGAAATTCTGAGCTCAAATTTGAAAAGACGCTTCAACTATGTTGTGTTAGCTCACGCTGTTGATATAAAATTTAGTCTCGGAACTGTATTCAATTATCAAAAAATATGAACATTGGGTAATTTTTGTTTCGGAAAATCAGCAGCTTGAACCGAAAGTCAGCAGCTTTTTATGCCATTGCTTCACAATTTCTGCCAGTAATTCAAAAAATCAACAGATTTTTCCATAGCACCACTATTAAGCGTCGAAAAGCGCTCACCTTTTTCAAAACAAAAACTATGTTTTTACAGACGAAAACTTGACAAAGACTTGACGAAAACTTGTTCAAGGAAGGAATAAAATCTTTCAGCTAACGCTACCAAAAAGGCTGTGCATAAGCTTGTGCTCTCACAAATGTTAACGCTTCCAAATCGGTCGAATCGTGACGAATCGGCGTGAATGAACGGGCATTTAACAATTGCCCCATTGAACAAATCTTGGTAGACAATATCTCATCCGATAATTTGCGTGTACCTATGACTGCGTAGAAAAAAAACAGGGCTGCAACTGCCCACCAATCTCTACCAAGACCCGCCATAATGCGGCGCTCTGAACGGATCGTAATTCCATATAATCCCCATAAGCACTAACAAGGAGGGAGCTTGTCTGTTCCAAAGCAGAAGTTTTTCTCATCTTAAACTAATTTGGTTCCGTTGTCTAACCACAACACTTAAGGTCTCTGGCGGGTAATAAATATTTCTAACTCCATGACCCAAAATGCTGCAGTAAATATTTCCCAAGGAACAAATGTTTGTTCAGTGATTGGACGTCATTAATAGGAAGCCATTCAAAACTCGTCAAAGCTTGCCCGGCTTGTTTGGATTGAGGAAAGGATGGAGGGGCGAATATAATTCACAGGTGGAGAAATGTTGCGCATGAATAAATATTCTTTCAACAAAGTCCTTTTTTCATGTTTTCAATTTCCAATTCACTATATTTGTCCAGCCTTTTTTCAAGCATTCCAAAATTGCCAGCGCTGAGTAGTAATTGTGTGAAAACATGGCATCATCAATACAACAGTCTACCCAGTACCTTTCAACATCGTGGCATGTTGTTGATTCAACAAGGTTATGCGCTCGCTGATTGCCTGAAGAACGAAAGTCAGCTTTCTTGTATGTGCCATAGTTTTCTAACTTTAAACTAAGCTTTAACTGGACTAAACAGCTATATGACTTCAGCATGCATTTGAAGCAAATTGATAACAACCCTGACGATAAGAGAAGCGGGCCACTAAAAGTTAATCCTGCCGGTAGACGCACAGTCAATGGAGTTTTTCTATGCACGACAGTCGAAATAATATCCGTTGAATTGTAACTAATAAGGATCAATTAAACTTTTTTCCCTGGTAAATTTAAACCCAAGAAAAGCTTGCAAAAAACCAGCAGTGATTGTTTGCGTCATGAGTCACACAAAAGGAAACCCTTTTCGATTCTAAAATTTGATGAGACACTTAACTAAACAGCTTGAACAAGACCCTAACTGTCCTGTACGGATGGTGAACATAAAGACTTTGCTTTTTTTCCAAGTCCTCGACAGAAGCAGAACAACATAAAAATGATTTTTCGCCAAAGTTTTTCCGGTAGAAAACAATCGAAAAAAATTGAGGTCTGTTTTTGCACTCAAATTTTGTGCATTTTTTATAACTTGTACCTTTACGGAACAAATGATTTGCTTGGAGACAGGAGAATCAAAGTTTTTTCTCCGCTGAAAGATTTGGTCTTATGAAGGGATAAGGTTCTTTGAAGATCTTGCAACCTCACAACGGATGTTTACCAGCCCACTGCGTGCAGGGAGGATATTCATTGTTCTTCGGCTCAGCACTGAAATAAAAAAAATGGGTAGTAGCTTACGCCTTGATGATTTCCTTGGTTTTGGTTTTCCAGGAAAGGAGAATCAAAAGATCTTCAAGGAAGTTAGACTGGAAAACAAAAACGATATCAAGGAGGTTCTGACAAAAGCAATTTCAATTGACCGTGTACAACGACCACAGATATTCCGCATATGACAACGTTCGAAGCACACCAACGAGATTTAAAAAAAAAACGATTTTCTGAGATGGGTGTTCACTACGGATTGAGGTTGCTCAAATGTTCGATCAAGGACACTCAGTGCAGCCCTGTACATCCGAACTGAAATCGCAAAGCCTGCTTTTGCCAACTTAGTTTTTTCAGTTAGCAGTGTTTTCTATTTCTTCAGCTTGACGTCAACCGGAAAAGTTGATTGCTGATCATTGCGCTGCAAGATTAACGTCATGCATTTCACGATATTCGAGTGATAGCATTGAAATGTCTCATAGTAGTGCTGTGCACTCATACGTGTTTTAATGACGTTTGGATTAGACCTTAGGCAAGTTTTCTTGAAAAAAAAAAAACGGTTGCTGTGGATTAAAAATCTTCAGAATTAATTTCGGTTCGATTTGAGGGGTCGTATAAACTAGGTCAAAGTCGCTTCAGCCGCCCGGAGTAAACTTGAGGTCGCCAGAGCTCAAATTAATTGAAACGGGTGGGTTTTCTATATTTGATATCGATGGGACTGAAATTTTTAAGCGTTCCCGCTGCGGGCGTTCCTTTTTGTAAAAAGAATGCGGACTGAAGCTGCAAGTTTTGCAAATAATGAGTGGCAAATTCGACCCTATGGTTTTTAAATGGTCGCGGTGATATTTACAAAAAATTCTGGCGTAAGCTGTAGACCTAAAACATTGTCTCGCAAACCGTTATTAACTATCGAAAAAAAGAATTGGATAATATTTGCCTCGTAATCAACAGAAATTAAGCAGTTTTTTTACGCCACTTTTTCATAATTTCGGTCGGTGTTTCAAAAAATTAAAAAATAGTTTTCTAAAGCACCGATGTTAAGCGTGGGGGTTCTTCTTTCTTTTCGTCGAATAATGTTGTCGAAATCTGGCATGACCGTCTTACGGACTAAATTGAAGAACAAATTAAAACTAATTTTTTTTTGTGGCGATTCGGTCGCGGTTACGGAGCGTAAGTTATATGTTCTATCAAATTCGGTTCAAGTTTGCTTTTATTACGGGAAACGATTTAGGTGGCATACAAATCCGCGCCGAACCCACAGGCAGGGTTGCACTGTGTTTGCATTCACGTTCTTGTTCCACTGCCTTTTATAAATTGACATCGTTCAAAATCCCGATAACCGTGTGATGGCATTGAAATGTCTCTTTGTAGTGTTGTACATTCTTACCGGTTTTAACGGCGTTTGGATTAGAATTTAGGCCGTTTTTCTTGAAAAAAATTGGACGCTGCGGATTTATGATCTTCAGAAATGTTTTCTGATGGATTTGAGGGGTTGTATAA